CCCCTGTATGATTTAAGGAACCCTGTGCCACTCCTAACGCCGAACACTCACTCACTCAGCTATCCTAACCCTAAACCCTAAACCCTAAACCCTTTTTGCAGCAGGCTTCTCTAAACCCTAAACCCTGAACCCTAAACCCACTCACTCGTCTATCCTAGGGACCCGATTGCCAACTTTAAAGCGGCCCTTAGGAAATCGTCTCCGAGGTGCGGTGGCCCGGTCGACCGACCACGGCGCTTGCGGCCTCAACGATTTTGGGGCTTTACAAGGGCCTGAGGGTTTGGGGACAATTAGGGTTTAGGATTTAGGGTTTAGGATTTCGGGTTTAGGGTTTGGGGACAATTTGGATTTAGGGTTTAGGGTTTAGGGTTTGGGAACAATTAGGGTTTAGGATTTAGGGTTTGGGGACAATTAGGGTTCGGGGGCCTGAGGGGTTTAGGATTTGAGGTTTAGGGGGGCCTGAGGGTTTTGGGGTTTAGGATAGAAGGGTCGAGAGTTTAGGGCTTAAGGGTTTCGAGTGTCGCAACTCGGCAACAAGGGCTTGGACGGTTTTGGGGTTCAGGGTTCATGGGGCTTCAGCACCGTGAGTTGAAGAGCTTCACGACCCCGTGTGCTCTTTTTCAGCATGAGCGTACTTTGTACTTTTCGGCTCTCCATGCCAGTGTGCCTTCTGGCTTTGTCTTTTTGTGCAATAGCGCCCTTGCGCGGGACACCGTCACCTAGTAATTAATTTAACAGTATCAGCACGTCAGCATCAAGGGTCTCAAACAGGGTGGGATGAAGCTAGGGGGTAAAGCTATGGATAAAGGATCCCGTATGTAAGGACACGTATTCCCACCTTTGATATTTGGAGCTCTTTTTTAAAGCTGTACCAACTACACAATTCACGGCATCTCAAACTCAAACAGTCAAACTGGCTATAAACGAAGCCCTTGCGCACCTTGCGCTTTCTGGCCGCTGTCGGAGACCGCAGGGCCGAACTCTCTGCCAGGCGTGTCTCCAAGAGGCCATGCTCCCAAAGCCCTGCCAGGCTTTGAGTTCTTGGGTCGTTGGGTTCAAGACTTATGCCCTCAAACGGTTTGAAGGGTTTTCGGCACAGGCTTGGGGTCTTGTGGGGTTGGTTGATGTTGTCTTGCCGAAAGCGTGCATCATGCATGTAGTGCGGCATCTGTTTGCGAGTGTATGTACGCATGTTCGATGCAAACGCGTGACTTTTCAGATAGCTCAGAGTTCAGACTGTGAAGCTGCTCACCAGAGCTGTGTCGTCCATGCCACTTCGGGACGCGGCTCTCTGTGGTCTTCTAGAGTGGTCCTAGAAGGGTCATTGACTCATCACCAAGGCAAGAAACTGCAGGTTCAGATGAGCTTCCGTAAGCAACTGGGACCGCCAAAACTGCAAAGACTAGAAGTTTGACTGCCAGATCGCAGGGAGAGTCTCTGATAGACCTGAAACGGCGCAATCAGACAAGCTTGATGGCCGTACCTGTTCACATCCCGCACCCCCAAAACCCCAAACTCAAGCAAGACCCCCTAAACCCTAAACCCTAAACTGGAGAACTCCGTTTGCGCTCAGCAGAACCCAAAGCGGCGGGGCCTTGCACCAGCTCCGGGTCCAGGGCGGAGTCAGAAATCCAGGCACCCAGGGAGGCAGTGTTCAATGCCTCCAAGGTTTAGGGCTTTACGGGTTTAGGGCTTTAGGGGTTTGAATGGTTTGAAGGGTTTGAAGGGCTTTAAAGGTTTAGGAATTAGGGCTTTAAGGGTTTAGGGTTTAGGGTTTTAAGGGTTTAGGGTTTTGGGTTTGGAGAGACGAGGCCCATGGAAAGGAGAGGGTCAGGGTATCGGGCTTTCAGGGGTTCAGTCCGATCTGAGCTTTCACTGCAGGGGCGAACAGATCGCGGGATCACGGCTGTTTTGGTGCCCAAAATGAATTACCCGGGCAATTTCCAGAAGAAAGTAGGATGCGGGACTTGTCACGTTAGGATTTCTACCAAGGAAGTCTGTGCAAAACTGCATGCTGGGGGCGGGCCACAACACCCTGGGAAGCCACGGTACGAGGAAGAAAGCAAAACCCCCGAACGCCCCGAGTAAATGCCCTGGCTCAGACTAAGCTCGAGATGTGATGAACTATGATGCTACCCAAGTAGAAGGGTAAAATATACAAATACCACAATGCGGGGTACTAAAATATAAGAGCACCAAATAGATCATGGTACTATAGTTTGATTAGTGGTACTGCACTAGAGTGGCACTGCAACATCATGGTACTAGACCCCTTTACACAGGCTTGATTGGAGCTCGCCCGGCCCGGTTCCCACACGGTACTAGACCCTAAACCCTAAACCCTAAATCCTAAATCCTAACCCTAAACCCTAAACCCTAAACCCTAAACCCTAAACCCTAAACCCTAAACCCGAACCCATGGCACTCGATGCTAGATGGCCTGGAGGGACGGGAGCCACTGCTGGCCTTCCAGCACGATGCAGGCTGGAGACGGCTCCTTGCAACCCGAAGGCAGGAGTCGAATCTGGAAGAATGCATAACTACCTATTTTTTATCTCTGGGCATTATTAGGAGTCTACTATGGTATAACCTACCTATATTTATCTCTTAGCATTACTATAAGTCTACTATGATATAACCCCAAAACCCCATTTTGGGTACCATATTACAGGGCTTCTAACTTGTCCCAGGGTCCACTCCAGGTGTCATGTGCTTGTCCGCCGAATTTTCCAAGGCGTGGTAGATCTGCACCTTTCTGGGGCTTTTTTCCCACCCGCTTTCTGGGGTTTAGGGTCTGGGGTTTGGGGGTTTCGGGTTTAGGGTTCAGATGTATCTTTCTCTCTCAGGCCCATCCTTCGTCTTGCACGCCAAGGAGCCGTGGCTTCTGGGAAACCCGACGCTTGCTTTAGACAAGCACGACGGACCCGGTTTAAGAGTATACCCGCCCAAAACCCCCGCCCCGAACCCGGAGCCCTCTCCCGAAAACTGCATCACTCAAAGGCCTGCTACATGTCGGCTGGGCGTTCGGGTTCAAAGGTTTCTAATCTGCACTCCAAGTTGGAACGGGGGAGGGTCTAGGACTTCGGGATGGGGTTGTGGATGTTGAGGGTTGGGGGTAGGGCCTCCTACTTATTTCCTTATCAAATCCGGCTATGTTCTGTGTTCCGCAGGGGCGTGGGGGGATTTGGGGGTTGTGGCTTTTGTCTCCAAACTTCAGCCTCTTCACCACAGGAATGCGAGCATGCCATCACCAAGTTTGTTCGCAAAGCTGCATCATCATCTCATGCAAGAAGACAACAAAACACAAGCACCAGGTACCAGGAATTACATATATAAGATCAGCCAAATCTCGATCTTCGCTGAACCCCAATCCGCAAAAGCCAATCTTGTTCTTCTGTTCTAACCAAAAATCGCTAGTGAGTGCAGCGGCACGTTCGGCAGGGTGCCATAGCTCCTTCTCCGCCTCCCGATCCCACGGCACCGCAGCCCGGTCCCGTTTCGCACACGCGGACGAAAGCCCGACGGGCATCGAGATGCGAGCACCTGTTGGCCCCTGGACGGCCGCAAGCCAAGGTGCAATGGCATCCCAACTTCTTTTCGAATGGGTCTTCCTTGTGACCAGCAGTTCAGCATGTCGATTTCCAGGGTCCATTTCGGGACTTGTGGGCGCGTGGTGGTCCCACCAGCATCCTGAGCACCTTGCGGCCTCTGTCAAAATGCTCTCTACACTCCTCTCCTCTTCCTCTTGTAGCGGTTGGCATCTACATTGGCGAAGGTTTGATTCCTGAACCCTGACACTCCCGTGCCTCTGGCTCACGACCAGGCGAGCTCTCCACCACCACGCGCACCTAAGGCGTCAAAGCTCGCACCCCAAAACTAGTCGAGTTTAGCTGAGTTTGGGGGTTCAGGATCCTGGGCCCTCAATCAAAAAAATCCGTGAACCCCAAGATGTTTGGTTTGATGATGGGGATAGTCGGTTTAGGGTTTAGGGTTTAGGGTTTAGGGTTGATAGTGACTTAATTTGACATGTCGTGGCCATCCTGAACACTCCCTCCCTCCGGCTCTTCCACAACTGCCCGGGACCTGCAGCAAAGAGAACGTCACAGCAATAGCCATGGTCAAACTCATAATGCACAAACCCACATTCCACAGCAAGGATGACAACATAGCAGATAACTTACTCACATACAGCTCGAGTGACGTGACGATCCACTTGAAGAGCGAATCGCTCGCTCACTTCGGAGAACAGAACTCATGGGGCAGGGATTGCACACATGCAACAGCACTGAAGTAGTACGTCAAGCACGTCACATCCCTTCAAGCATGTTTGGGTGAGCTGTCAGTGTGCAAGCAGGAAGATCCAAGATGCTGTTGCTGTCAGGACCGGCTCCCGCTTGTCACTTGCAGGAAGAGAACCCATGTCAAAAGGAAAGCAAAGCAACAAGTCAAATCGGAGGTGTGTCGTGGTGAACCTGCAAGCCTAATTACTAATTCCGGGCCTCAGTCCTGGACGCATCGCCACAGCTTCTGATACGCTCAGCTGCCTATCAAGAAACCTCTGTGGTACCACCCCTCACGCGGTTCTTAAAGCCTAAACCCGAAACCATAAACCAACCCCAGACAGAAGATCCTTTCAACCGAAACTCCTAAAGCCCGAATCCCAAGCCCCGAACTAAAACATCCACTATGCCTAAAAAAGGGCCTGAATAATTAGAATAGGGTTTTGGGGTATGTTATACTATAATTATAGTAAGGAACCCCCAAAATCCTATTCTACTTTTTAAGGCCCCTACACTTTTACACCTGGACTACGCATATGCCAGGAACCGAGGCACCGACTGTGCTGTGGACTCGTGCCACACGGCTACCCCAGATTGCAAATACTTCTTCAGCCGGGCAAAGTCAGCAGGCTTCACAAGGAAAAAACCCTCACTACGTGTCGGCGTCCTCGCCCTAAACCCTAAACCCTAAACCCTAAACCCCAAGCCGGACTTTCAAGGGGTGAAAGCCGGGCAGCTGTCGGAGGTCTCATCAGGAGGAGATCGAGGAACTCTGGCTCCTGGCCGATTCTGGACGCTTTAGGGCTTCAGGGCTTAGGGTTTAGGGTTTAGGGTTTAGGGTTTAGGGTTTAGGGGTTTAGGGTTTAGGGTTTAGGGTTTTGGGGCTTAGGGCTTTGGGGCTTTAGGGTTTTTGGGGCTTAGGGGTTTTGGGTTTTAGGGCTTAGGGGCTTAGGGGTTTTGGGTTTTAGGGCTTAGGGGCTTAAAGGGGTTTGGGGTTTTAAGGTTTTGGGGTTTTGGGGTTTAGGGCTTAGGGGTTTCGGGTTTAGGGATTTAGACTCTCGCAGCTGGGATTTAGGGTTTAGGGTTTAGGATTAACTCCCATGCCTCGTAGTAGTTCCTTTTTGGGATTACCTAATAGGATCCTAAAGATAAGCCACAAAAAGGAACTAAGATGGGGCCTATGCGTAACCCTGAACCCCCAATCTTCCCAAAAAGCCTCGAAAGGGTTTAGGGGGCTTAAGGAACCCTAAACCCTAAACCCTAGATCCTAAATCCTAAACCCTAAACCCTCCCATGGCCTCGGTTGCATCTTGGATCTTCTGCTGAAGGGCACACGCGAGATTGTCAGACTTGAGGTCGGAGTGGAGGAGCAAGTCCAGAAAGCGATTCACTTGCCTTATTACTATCATTATTGTTGTTATGATTATCATTACTACTGTTATTATCATTATTATGATCATTATTATTGTTGTTGTCATGATTATTATTATCATTATCATTTACTAAATAAGTGGGAGCAAGTCCAGAAAGCGATTCACTTGCCTGAGAGCAAGGGATCCCCTTTCAGGCAAGGCGGCACTGGAGCAGATGGCCTCTATGACTCGATGATATCATGTACCAGATTATATATATTCTGTACCAGTATATTATACTATGTTAACTATTCACTTGCAGACCCGATTCAAGTGAGTTTTCCAGCGCTGGAGATCATCGGCTGGCAGCAATGCCTCAGAGATGGCCACCGGCACGTGACTGCCACGGCAAAAGAGACCCGCACATGCCGAATTCAGGCGAGACTCCAAGCATCGCAGTACATCTCGAATCCGGTCGCTGCCACTCCTGGCTTCCCGAGCGTCGTGCCAGGCAGAGGGTGCAAAGCTCTGGGCCTTGCCACCATGGGGGACAACAACGCAGCGGGCCCACAACGCTGGCACAGCTTCACCTTGAGTGGCATCTCATCTCCCAGTGTTCTTCAGATCTGACATCGCTCGGGACCCGGCCAACAATCTCAAGATACGTCCGAAGGTGTGGGCTTGAGACTGGATCCCGTCTTGAGGCAGCTCAATCAAGGCCTGGCAGGAAGTTGCGTCCAGGCTTTAGAAATCCGGAGACTCCGCGGTGGAAGGAGCCTTGACAATGTTACAACTCAGCGAGGCCTGGATGAGCTCCTCCACGGGATTCACTTTTGCCCTCTTCTTCGCTTGCTCATGCACGTGGAGCTTCTGCACTGACACCTTTGGAGTCGTACAAGCATGGGGATCGCGGAAGACGATCTCCATCCTAATCCTAGCATCCGTACCGCATGTGACTGCCAATTCATGCGCCAATATCACCGAGGCGGCGACCAAAACCCTAAAAGCCTGCTCAGCAACCGCGGATGCGGCCAGAGCAAGAAATATGAAGAAACATGCCTTTTTAACTTAAGTGAGTCCTCTTCTACGATCCCTCACAAAAAGCCTATCTCCACAACGCGAACCCTCAAGCCAAGGCCGTGGCCAAGAGGGCGTCAATCGGCTCTAAGCTCTCACAGGCGGTCACCACTGCCCGGCGCACGAAGGAGGCCACCACCCAGGGAGGAGGTCTTCTCAGGGCCCTGGCCTGGCGTTCGGGTACCTGGCTGCCTGCAAGGCCGGGACTAGGGCTTCAGGGCTGTAGGGATTTAGGGTTTAGGGGCAGGGTTGTTGTGGCGCGCGCACTCGGCAGAGTCAGCCTTTCGTGCTGCATGGTTCTCGTGCGCTGAGGACATGTCCAAAACGAGGATGTCAGGGGTTTGAGGGTTTCAAGAAAGCCCTTGGGGCTTGAGGATGTTGGGGGAGGCCCCCCTCTCCATGACCTGCCTTGGACCAGGGCAATCTGGCGCTGGAGGGACTCCAGCATCAGAGCTAAGCCTCCCCCGGAGTCGAGGTTTCCGGACATGGCCAGGGCTGACAAGGCGGCAATGGCAGCAGACTGATCAAAGGTCTGCTTGTGCAAGAACTCCTGGGGTTGAGGGGGGTTGGCATAGTTGGGATCTTTTACATCCTACTTATGGGTGGCCTGTATTACTCTCTCTGTCTCACACCTTCTGAAACCGGGCTTATTGGGCCAAGGGTCTTACATGTTGGGGGTTTAGATAGGAGATGGGGCAACGGCGTGTTCCCAATAACACGACGGTGCCCCTGTAGAACCCTGAAGCGAACCCTTGACAGGAACCCTCTTTATGATAGCAGCCGAAACACCAAGGGTGTGTTCTTCAGCAGCGATGGCTTCGGGCTGTTGCTTCCGGTTCGAAGCAACTTGATGGCATCCGATGCGCTGCCCGCCGGCGGCTCCTCCTTGTTAGGCTTTAGGGTTTGCGGTTTTTATGCCTCCCACCTAGCCAGGGTTTAGTCTGCAGCTTAGTAGGGCTTAGGGGCTTTGGGGTTTAAGGCTTAGATAATGGCTTTTTTGCAGGCCTTTTCCCTCCGCAGGTCTCGCTGAGTTCCGAATGCCAGGGCTTCGACTCACACACTCGCACAAGGCAGGCATGGCATGCCAGGGTTTAGGGTTTAAGGATTAAGGCAGGGTACGGTTGCGGGTTTTAGGGTTTGGGGTCAAATTGGTTTAGACCGAGTAGGAGACTCGAGGCTGGATCAGCTCGCACCAAAAGAAAAAGGGGTAAACAAACACAAGAAGCCGAAGTGTTGAACTGGTCAGCAAGATTCCGGAACGTTGTTCATGTGCTGCTCCAAGAACGGTATTTTGCCTGACTCGATTGCCTGGAGCATAGCAGAAATTGCTGGGCCAATGATGCAACAACACTCGAGGGCACAGCCCCTCCCGTGCCTGGAAAAGCATCTTCACGGCAGCTGCCACGTGCGATCCTGTTGCGCACTGCCTCCAGTTTATGCACCGAAGGACACAAAGTGCGGGACCATTGCAGGTTCTCCTGTCGCAGGGCCGCACAACTTCCCAAACGGGCTGTGCTCAAGCTGTCACTCCAAAGTCCTAGAAGCAAGCTGCTCGCCGATCTCGCCCAGCAGCCCGTTCATGTCTTTCGGATCAACCAAGCCTCTAGCAACACACAGCATCATCTCTCTCCCACTCTCCGTGTCTCTCCCCCGAAATGCCACTTGCAGCTCCGGCGGCCATCGTTGTCCAATGCCACCACCATGTGATGACAGCTTGGTGCGATGGTGCTCGTGAGCTGGGCCAGGAGGGCCCAGAGCTGGCCCTGCTGCGACTTCGTACTTCTCTGAGGTTTAGGGCTAGGGGACACGTGGGAAAAATGATCTCAGCTCATGGGTACGGTACCATTGCTACCGTGGTTGCGAGTCGAGCCACCTTGCTCATAATCTCCACACATTGCTCATCTGCTTTCGGCACGGCCGTGAAAGTTCTCATGATGCAGCGCATCGCAGCCAGGGTGATCAAATTTCGGACATCACCGAGCAGCTGCGTCCCCACCTGCGGCTGCGAGAGAAAGAAAGTGTTTGCAAGTCGCGCGTAACTCCCAGAACATGAATACATTGACGAAACGAAGCTTCGAATTGTCCATGCAGGAGGTCTGTTTTCTCGCATGGTCCTAGTTAGTTAGGCACGTTCGAAAGATGCTTTTGTCCAAAATGCATCCATGGGATCTGATTCTATAACCCTAGAGTTTTGTGACTGATGTTAGGGGATATGATTCTACTTGCGGGGGCACACACACCCTAAACCCTAAACCCTAAACCCTTTTACACCTGGACTACGCATATGCCAACCCTAAACCCTAAACCCTAAGCCCTAAACCCTAAACCCTAAACCCTAATTTGAGGGTGCCACCCACTGGCCGGCGGCGACCACCGCCGCCGCAGAGAAGAGGAGAGCCTCCACCAGGCAGCATTCCTTAACAAAGGCCGAGGTCAAACTATCAGATCACATACCAGGATGATAGATGCTACGCTATATCTATACATCTATATATATGTATGTATGTATGTATGTGTGTGTACATACATATACGTACATACATACACATCTATATATATATATATATGTATGTATATATGTTTGTAGCTGTATATACACACACATTATGTTTTTCTGAACTCCATTTGTTTCAAGTATATCAACTTACTGTATATTACAGTGCATCTGGCTCATGATTGCTCCTTCTTGCCACCAGCTTCGTAGGTCGCCTTTGACTGGTGACGGCCGGTGGCCGCAATGATTCCTCAGCTTTACTTAGGGCCTCCCTCAAGGATTCCCTTACAGATGGGGTTCCTTCGAGGGTTCTTACATGGTCTTGCAGGGTTTCTATAAGGATACCGCAGCTTTTCTGGGAGGCCATGGCTGGCGACAGAGGCGACCTAGAGAAAGCCGAGCTGCTTTCGCGGAAGTCCTCCAACCTGGAGGTGCCGTAGACCAGCTCGTAGCTAAGTACGACCTTTGCCTCGTCAGCGATCTTCCTGAAGCTGAAGTCTCACGGCTCACAGGCTCATACATGCAACGGGACATTGAGTGTCAGGCTAAAGCGCCCGCAGAACCAAGGACCCACATACTTGCGAGAGAGGGTCTTGAGCGCATGGAAGATGTCAATGGCAGCGTCAGGCAGCTGCCCCAGCTCAGTTTTAGCTGTCAGTGCGCCTTAGAAAGGGTTCAAGGTTTTGGGTCTGAGGTTTAGGGTTTGCAACAACACGTGCAAAGCTTCCTGTTGCTGCTAAGCGGGGAGTGGCTGAGTAAGACTCCAATTCCAAGCTACCCCGATTGATGTGCATGCATATAAGCTTTACATACCCTGCTGGCAGGGTCCCGGATGCTGAAGGGAAAGGGGGAGCCACGTACCAATACATCGTCCTGTCCCCAACGCCCTACAGTGCCACCAACTCAAGATAACTCAAGCCATCACCCCAAGCTCGCCCATCGAATCAGGACAAGCGGCCTGCAAAATACAGAGGCTTAAACAATGCCTCGATCTCGACAAGGGTCTCATCATCTGGCTTTAGCCAAGGTCTCCTCGATACTTTTTGAGCGGCTGCATGTCACACGAGAGCAACCAAGAGCTGGGTTTTCGTCGGCCTTTGAACCTTCTTTAACCAAGGCCGGGCATCAGCTGGTTGAAAAGCTGCTCTGCGGTGCTCAAAAGCACGGTCGACTCGATGCGCGGGCTCTTGATTTGCAGCTGGAAGTCCCACCTGATGTGCAACTTGAACAGACGATGCGTTGGCGGCCCGAATCACATCGAAAAAGCATGCAGAGGAGCGGCACGATGGGAAGATGATCTGACGGGAGAAGCTCATTTGGCATTAGCGCCAACCAGTCGCGGTCTGCATGATCCTCGGCTCAAAAAATCGCAGAGTCGAGCCATGGGCGCCTGAGAAAGTGCCAGCAGTTGCTCGCAGCCATCTTCGCGGCCACGTCTTCCCGCGAGCCGAAACAAAACGAGGCAGTCATTTTGCAGCTAAGCTGCATCCGTCTTCCTTACCACTCGAACGGTAGAGAAGCCATGTTCAGCAACGGACCTTTACCATGCAGTGCCCAAGGCACTTCTCTCGGAGACGCAGTGCCTGCTCGCCAAGCTGGAAGAGGTGGCGACCATCGTAGAAGATGTGGTCAATGAGCTGGTACATGTCCTGACGATTAACTAGGATTCCCAACTACCCATCTCCTAGCACACCGCATCAGTACCAGGTTGGAAAACGAAAACAGCGCAAAAGCGTGTGGCACCGGGTCCTCCCCGACCTTCTTGGGCTGTGCAGAAGCACTCCCTCGCATCTTCCACACCTCAGGTGCTCCAATCCAGAAGATCACTTCAGGGTCTCGGGTTAGAGGTGAGATGCTCACTTAGTGCCCTCCTTCTTTGCAGGGAGAGGCAACTCTAAATATTTACTCAAGAATCAACACTAAACCCCTACCTGCCCTATGACCCCTAAACAATAGGATCCCTGATGACCTCTAAACCCTGCATGCATGTCAGACACGGAGACGGGTGGGTTCCACATGTCACGCGTACTGCTGTAGAACTCCTCCCAGATGCTTCGCAAATCCTCGGAAGGATCGGGATCTGTTAATCAAGGAGTGTAGCATAGCCTCTATTCAAGGTTCAGGGTTTGGGGTTTTCGGGCTCACGAATCGAGGGTCTAGCAAAGGCTCTATTAACGGCTCGGGATTCCCATGGCGCAGAGGAACATTGGTTTAGACTTTCCGCGCTCACAAACCACGGCTCAGCACTCTCACACTCGGACAAGCCTGGGCGTGGTTCTTGGTACGCTGCAAGAGGCTCATTGGCTCTACAATCGGCACGCATCAGGGTTTAGGGTTTAGGAATCAATGGGTCCATCAAGGGCTTTTATCAAAGGTTCAAGACGCTTCCCCAAAGGCTTCTCTAGGGATTCTATAAGGGTTCGAGGGATGTGACGAGCTTCGTTGTTGTGCATGAAGCTCTGCAGTGCATTGGCTTCTTCCGGAATGGGCACGACACTCCCGAAGGCCATGTCCTCAAGCAATGACAACAGGATTCAGTGTCAGGGCTTTGAGATTCGGGTTGAGGGTTTATGGTTTGGTTTAAGGGCCTTGGGGGAGTTCCACCATCTGGATACCGGCAGCTGTTCCACGGCAGCGCCTTTGTCTTCAGTCTATCCCAACGCTCTTCCTTACTGTCCCTTCGACTTTTACCGTGGGCTCCCTGAATGAAGTCGCCTTGGCCTAGTCTGCCTAGCACGTGCCGGAAACTTGCAGTGACTGTTTGCTCTGATGATCTTCCTCTGTGGCCTTCTGTTTCAGTACATGGGAGTCTCCGAAAATCAGGGGTACCTTATTTGGGGGTCCTTATAATAGGGATCTTACTATTTAGGGTGCTATATTAGGGTCCCCTATTTTCGGAGACCCCCACATTCTGGTCGCCGCTGAAGCTTGCCTCTCCGACCGTCTGGGCCCCATTTTTCCCAACCTCATGGCAAGCTCGACTTGATACCCCCAAAAGCCTCAGCGTTCATCTGGGTAGTTGTCAAACTGATGGTCCCTTTTGGGGCACCCTAAATAATAGGTGCCGTAGTATATAATAAGGACCCAAAAAGGGACCATAATTTTGACAACCACCCATCTTGGACTTTGCCTTGTCCTTCCCACCTCATCCCGCTAGATCTGAAGCCCACCATCCGTGCATCTTCAACTTCTTCAGCTGCTCCTCCCTCCTTAGGGTCCTTAAACCACCCACGGTGGGGCGGCTCCCAGAAAGTTCAGACCTTGCCCTGGAATGCCAGGAGTCCGCATCATCGAAGTCTAGCTCGGTGTTCGCATCCATGGACCTGGTCATTTTGTGAAAAATTTAGGCGAGGCTGTAGGCCCCAGAAATCAGGCCCTCAAGGAAAGTCTCGCTTCTTTTCCGAGTCTATGGACAGAAGCATAGGACGACTGCTGCCGATAGGTGGCCAAATCTCCGGCAGACCGCTGCGACCCCAACATTGGCCCAAGTGGTGCAGCCTCAGAGCTCTGGTTTGAATCCCATCAAGGCAATACAAGGCCGACCACAAGACCTTGATGAAGATCCCTACAAGAGCACTAAGGATGCAGCTGCTGAATTCGCCGGACTTCACTGTCCGTTCCGCTGGACCTCTGTTCTTTGCTTCGCTTTCATTTCGCCGGACGTGACCATTGCTGGACCAAGGAGCAGGTGCGTAGTGCATACATAGAATTGCCTTGAAGGGTCTATAGGGGTTTAGGGTATAGGGTTGAGGGCTTCGGGTCTATAGGGGTTTAGGGCTTAGGGCTTACTATAGGTTTAGGGCTTAGGGTTAAGGCATTGGGGGCCCTTTCCGCATTGAGACCAGGGCTTCGGGTTTAAGGTTTAGGGGGGCACATTATCGTTGGATGTTGGCAAGGTGCTGCCGCCGCAATCGCTCGTCCAATTCTTTGAATTGCAGGAGTACCCTCACCGCAGCCTGATCCGCTGTCGCAAATCCTTCCAGGCAACACCTTACACACCTGCTTAAGATTTCAATGTCACGATAATTCTATGCCAGGAAGCACTACGGTACCATTATCTAAACGACCAGCAAGTATGATTGCAAAACTACTGTAAGTAAGCGTTATCTGGCAACTTCCGTCGGAGTCGTAACCCTCAACCTTGATTGGAGCTCACCCTCAACCCTGAACCCTAAACCCTAAACCCTAAACCCTAAACCCTAAACCCTAAAGCCTAAACTGCAGCATGCTCCTGGGACTTCGGACGTGCCCTCCACAAAGGCATCGATGTCCGGATCTCCCGGCAAAGTCTGGAACTCCTCGGATTCCAAAAGAGTGCTTTGCGCTATCTGATATACGATACTCTATGATTTACCTTGCTATATGTTGTACGATATTCTATGATATACTGTACTATACTATACTTATACTAGACTATGCTATACTATACTATACTATATGGTATGATACACGATACTGGAACATATTACCTCTCTCTCTCTCTCGCGGACTCAGAGGTCTGTCAGCCGCGCGGCCGTCTAACACTTCGTACCTACCATACTATAATATCCCTGGCCTCCTGCATTTCGAATCTGCTACGCAGAGAATTTCACAATGGGACACGCTGGGTCGAGGCGCCTCTCATTGACAACGCCAGCTTGGGCGATGGGGTGTAATGTCTAGGGGCAGTCCGTAGCTCCGTACTGAGGACGGATCACAGGAGAGGTTGTGCAAGAACAACGCTCACTTCGTAAAGACTCAACTCCCATTCGGCCCTGCACTTTCGTTGCAGCCTGTAGCCATGACGCATCATGCCGTCTCAAGCATGCAGGGTTTTGGGTTGTCGATGGGGGATTTGGGATCTAGGCTTACTGGGACGAGCAACAGGCTTGCCAACCATCTGGAAACGATCTGCTCGCCAAAAAATCGCTTGCCCGTCGTCGTCCACTGGCCACGCATCTTGCCCATGGAACCGCCTGGGATCTACGACGCTTCACCACTGAACTGGCGACACAAGGCTCCAATGCTTCCTTCAAAGACAGGGAGGAAAGCCAGCAGAGCTCTTGCATCCGTGCGTCGCTTTCACCCCGGTCCCGTCTGCCACGCGCTTCTCCAAGAAATGCCGGGCCGTGCTCTTGCCCTTCTTGAAGCCGGTCTTGGGAGCGAAGGCCCAGGACGAGGAGGCGAGCTTCTCGCCTCGGCACGGTATCGAGTCTTATTTATTTATTCATTTATCTATTTGTTTATGTATTCATTTATAGATATAGATATAGATAGATATATATATATATATATATGATTCATTTGGTCATATTTCAGTAAGTGTGTCCGACTCAAGTCAGGGCACTGTAGGTCGATCCAGTCCGATCCTTAAGAGGGACGTAGGCTTCGGCATCCGGGCTGCTGCAGGCATACCCGAGCTTCTGCAGCTCTTTGGAAAGGAACGTGAAGTTGTCGAGCTCCTGGCTAGCGAAAGAAAATCAAAACTAAGCAGCAGCTACAACTGAGCACTGTGCCAGAGCCCTGCTGCAAACAGCGGCCGGATGTTTCCTAGAAAAATGCCCGCCCGGCTGCGTTCAGCACGCAAGCATGAACCCTCTAGTGCTTCTTGCCAGAATCTTCTCACTGCGAGCCCCATGTTGAGCTGCAAGCCGTCCTGCAGGCAGATGATGTCGGGCTTGAGAAGGGCCACGAACCACACCTGTCAGCTGACCATGCAGAGAATCTGAACTTGGGGCCTGCAAGGTCTTTTGCTGCCCAGGTGCCACTCGAAAGAGCCGGTGCTCAGCCCCGACGATCGCCTTCTCGTTAACCGTCAGTTGACCCGTCCCTTTGCCATCCAGGTCTGGATTATACCTGCCAAGATCCGACGAAGCCATGGTGGGCAGCTGCCCTACTCAGAACTTCCCCCCCAGCCCCCAGAAACAACGGCTAAAACCACTGCTACGGTTCTCTCCAAGCGTCATCTTCTTGAGCTCCAGCCCCCGCTCCTCCTTCTGCGAGGGGGCCAAGCCCTTCCTGAGCTCGTGCTTGGGAGCTTAAGTGGGTTTATGGATTGTTTCTGTAATCCTGAAAGTGGATATGTGACTGAATATGTATCCTCGTGCTGGTAACTGAAACTTAGCTGCGGAAGATGCAGTATGTATCCCCGTGGTGGCCAAGTAATTTCCATGCCATATGTACTCGTACCAGCTAACACTCCTATGATGACAACGTTTTTCTAGCCAAACAAATCTACTACATCTCCCCAGGGGCGGTAACGGAAAGTCAAGTCATCATTATATTCAACCCCATCTTGGCAACTTAACTTCATCTCCCTGACACTTAGCGGCTGAGTACCCCAGCCGACAAAACGGTAGACTTTGAACTATGATGAGCCCCAACCCCTAAGCCCTAAACCCATACGCTAAACCCAAGCCCAGCTTCATGGCCAAGACCATGTTGCAGGCCATCCGCGCGAACTCCTCCCAAGAGCCTTCGGAGCTTCCATCGCCTTCTGAATGTTTAGGGTGACGGCTTTGGGGCCGTTTAGGGTTTGGGATGGTTTAGGGGCAATGTCAACGGCAAGAGCTGTTTGGGGTCCAGGGCGAAACGAGTCGGGTCGGAGTGATACAAGGGCTGAACACCCCAGTCCATGCACAACAGGTTAACCTTGTACTGATGCTGGGGTTACACCTACCCCCTATACCCTACAGTGCCAAAAAGGTTTTGGCGGTTACCGACCCAGCCCCGCTCGCCAGGACAGCTGACTCCTTCCAGGCTGCACTCGTGGCCTAAACCCTAAACCCTAAGCCTCCCCTGAGCTCTGAGCGGCCTTCTCTCCACACGAAGCTTCTGTAGCCCTGGGAGGCGAGTCTGGCAGCATTCTGCAGGTCCTCCGGCCCGCTTTTGCGAAGAAGCTCCTCCAGATATGTGTCCTCGGTTCAGGGCCTAGAAGGTTTCGGATGAGACGAGACATCATGGACTGCTGGTGCAAGTTGCCAGCTGATTTGCATGATGAACTCCATCAAGCGTCTGATCTCTCGACGTGCTTCTGGCTCACTAGCGGCATCATGAATCCTTCTGGCACAAGACCTTCTGCGAGGAGGTTCCATTGAAGAACTCGCCTGAGCGTAGCTGACAGTCACGGAGGCATGTGCTCTCAACTCATGCGATCATCGTCCCTTCTCAGAGGCACAGGGCTCAACGGTTTCGGACAGGCCGAGAGGCAGGTTGTGCCCACTGAACCTTGGAGCTTGCCGTGAAACTCGCATGTCTTTTTCGCCCAAGTAGCTGTTCAGCCACCGGTGTCGCAAAAATGACATCCAAGTGGCGTTTCTGGCATGGATTCCTTGAAGGGCACCTCGAGGCAAAGAAAGTTGGGCTCTCAGATTTCGGGCTCGTTTTCCCCCCTCTCGCATGGCTCGGATCGATGCGAGGTTGGTAAGGAAGGGGCTGCTCTGGACATGCTCATCTCTTTGGCGGGGCTCTTTGGGCTTCAGGGTTTAGGTCTTGAGGATGCAAGGTTTAGCCGAAACCACAATTAGAAGAGGGGTTTTCGGGTATATTCTACTCTATAAATATAATAAGGAACCCCCCATAGAAGCCCGAAACTCGAAACCCTGAAATTTGCTTTCCCGAGACAGGGCTTCGGGCTCAGGGCTGCTGGGGACGTGCTGCCAGGTGTCAGCTGGATCGAGCAGTGCACTTCCTTCGAAGTGTTTGCGCCAGAGCTGCACCTGATATAGGGTTTAGGGTTTAGGGTTTAGGGTTTAGGGTTTAGGGTTTAGGTAGACTAGGGCCTAGGGCTCGGGAGCAAAATTTTTATATTGTCCTACAGTTGCAGTATGCTCTTTGCCTCGGCCCTGGCCGCAGCGGTTCCCTCTTTCCTTTCCAGGAACCTCTTTTCCCTCCCCGTAATCCCCTCCCCAATGGCAACGCCCCCCCTTGAAAAAATTGCAAGCCTCAACGATTCGTAGGGCCGGGCCCCCCCCCTCACCCCCCACCGCGCCCCGCCCCCACGCTCTGAACTTGCCAATTGGGCTCTGATTTGTGGAGACTCCTCTTCGCCTGCTAGCGGGCCGAGGTGGACGACTCGAAGCGTTTACAATAGTCCTGATAAGACCAACAACCTCTGTTAAAAAACAAAAAATACTCATGATAATGATTATAGAGTGACAATAATAACAACAAAAACCATAACAACAATAATCGCAAAAACAATTCTTTAAATACTAATCTTCATAGTGATAATAGCAATACTAATCATCCTATTCCGGCCTACCTCCATATGAAGTCAAAGCGACTTAGAGTTCTCGCACGCGAGTGTCCCCGAAAACACGAGGGTTTAGGGTTAGGGCTTTTTTGGAGGCCCCTTGTTCCCTTCGCCACGTATCTAACGAGAAGAAACCGGCTTTCCGCTGGGTGTTTGGACCCGCCGCTATCGTAGGCAGAACAGAAAATACCCTCGAACCTGCTAAGAGGAGACTCGTTTAGGGTTTTCGGCTTAGGGGGACCATTGTACCCTAAACCCTAAACCCTAAACCCTAACTAAACCCTAAACCCTAAACCCTAAACCCTGTACCCTAAGGTAACGATGCCACTACGACTGAAGATCTTCCTTGATGAAGGAGTAATGGGGTTTCTCAGCATTACGATTTGGGTAGTTCTCTAAATTAGGGTCCCTTTTAGGGCCCTTTTTCTATGGGTGCCGTACTACATTTTGGACCCCAAAAGGGACCCTATTTTGGAAAACTACCCATTTGGAACATGCGTCTTATTCACAGAGTTTTGGGCTCTCTGGGATGTGGCTGGCCGCGGCTGGTCGGGACAACTCAGCTCAGGGCCCAGTGAGCATCCTCTAGGAACTTGGAGTGAACACCATCTCGGCGCATCGCCTTGCAGTGTTTCTCCACTGCGCTTTAAAGAGCAACCCTCAAAACCCAAAGCCATAGACTAAACCCTAAACCCTGAACTCATGTATACCTGGGTTATGCATCCCTTTTTCAGCATGGGCTTGGATTGTGTGCCAGCGAACACACCTCAACAGCAGGGCCTTCTCGCTTAATGGGCTATGCATCCCTGAACCCGAAACCCTAAGACCCAGCGCACCTCTCGCACCAGCTGCTTGTAGTCATCGAGGCTAAGGGCACCGGAAGCCATGGGTTCATGTCTATGCCTTCTATGCTGCACTGAAGATGCCAACAGGTCAAGGGACAGAGTCACCGTCATGCAAGGCATGATGGGCATGGCCCCTCAACATCTTCGCTTCCCTTCGGTGTGTGCCTGTTTGAACACATTGATGGTGCACCCGATCATGGTTGGAACCAGCTTCTGCACACTTTCATCGAAGACCTGACTCCAAGGGCGCCACGACACGCTGCTCTCTACACCAGCTCACAAGGCTCCCCACTGCGAAGAAATACTTGGAGATCACATCGAAAATGTGCTTGATGGACACCTGCCATGTGCTGGCCGAGCATCGCAGGACCGCGCCTGCCGGAACCCCGCGACAACCGAGCCATTTCTTCCCAACTCCGTCTGAATCGCTCGCGAACTGATCCCGTGGATGAAAGCAACGGAGGCAGGACATCCGACAAGTCAGAGTACGCCGTCCTCAATGCGACTCATGGCGCGGGTAGTCGGGGAATATGCAAGAAAACAATCCGGGCCCAATGCGTGCTGTAGTGCCGCTTGAGTCCTAAGCAAATCGGAGCTCCGCTCTCCTATCCGGACTATTACCGCGAGGCTTGCATCCAAAGAGCGCTCTGTGATGAAGGTTCGTCCACCACCCGGAGGTCCCATGGCCGAAACCATGACCACATCAATGATGTTGAACCTGCGACCATCCGCTCTTCCGGTCAGGTCGCACGATAGAGAGAGGTAGGAAGCTCGGCGAAGATGCTTCTTGCGTTAAAGGCTAGGCTAGTCACAGCTAAACACCGAAGACGGGCCGGTGGATTCCGCTTCTCAGCTGAGGCCCCTGCTTCACAAGCTCCTGAAGTTGAGAATAGCATGTTCTTTGAGACTCAGCTTCAAAGGGAGTGAGCTAAGAGGAGCTCCTTTCGATTGTACCAACCTCCGTGATCATGCCACTGTCGGATAAGCTCGATCGGAGGCTGTGCCCCGTAGTACTCCTTCAAAGGTCCCCACGTGCAGCCTGGGGATGTCTGCAACGGCTGAACCACATCGGCTACATATGGCTGTCAAAATTATGGTCCCTTTTTGGGTCCTTATTATAATACGGCACCTATGATTTAGGGGACCCCACAAGGGACCATAATTTTGACAACTACCCATCTTGTTTCAGCAGCAACCGTCCTTGAGAGGCATGTTCAGGTCCTGGGCAGCTGCCAGCTAGATGCAGAAGTGCACAGGCAGGGAGACAGACACACGGACAGAAAGCTGAGGCGATGACATCTATAAACAGCACCTTCCCATGTCAGGATCACAAGCCCATATGCCCTCCATATCTGAGCTTGCAGAGCACTTCATGGGGCGCAAACCATCTTCTTCCCTGCAGGCGGTCCATATACACCGCGTCGCCGCCTTGATTGCTGGCGCGAGGGACAAAAACAGCCCGAAACCCTAGTCGTGCAGATGACTATGATATTGTTCCGTTGTTCAGACCGGGGCAATGGGACTACTACTGTCATTCAGTCCACGATTGCCGCTAAATGCCGCTATTGCTCTTGGTATCACGCGCGTACTTACGAATCAAAGCGCCTTTAATCAAAGCGCCTTAAACCTGAAACCCGGAACCCGAGACCCCAATTAGAACAGGGTTTTGGGGCCCATTATACTATATTCATAATAAGGAACCAAAAAATGATACCCAACACCCTCGACCTTCTTTGACCAGGGCCCCGACTTCTCAAGCTTCGAGTCGATGAGGTCTTGCAGCTGGTTCACGTGTGTCTGCGCCTGGTGTGGGTAGCGCATTGCAGCAAGTTTCCGGGTTCGTTCTTTGCCTGGCTCCAGGTTGGGGCTAGGGTTTGGGATTTAGGGTTACGTCTGGGATGTAGGGTGTTGCCTCCTGCACTGAAGGTTGTTTCTTAACGCGCCCTTTTCCAACCGACATCGCAGGGTGGGGCTGGGCGTATGGGGGGTGTTCTGCAGCAGTCGACGTCTGTGTGCAAGAGGCCGGGCGCCCGGACTGAGAAATTGATGAAGACACCTCGGGGAGGATCGCGGAGTGAAAGCCCGGTGCTGGGAGTAGGGGGAACAACGGAGCATAGACGGATCACCGATTCAACAACTCTAGGGCTGTCACCTTGGTAATTTTCCGGCGCCTGTCGCTGGGATGATGCAAAGAAGCAGAAACTAGGCCGGCAGCGCATCCCTCTTCGTGTTCAGACCCCACCTGTTTCTGAAGCCACAGCGAGATGTTGACGCTCTTTCCGGTACCAGTGGGCCTCGGAACGCCACAATACTCTCAGCCACTTTTTTGATGGCTCTCCAGCTCCCTCCGAGTCTTTCTGAGTGGCAGACCCCGGACAAAGGACATGCTTGTCGTTCAGCACCAGCAGCTGGAAGATGTACACCAAGCGCACCTCGGCCCCAGAACCAAGCATCTCAACTGCAACCCCTGAAACCCACACCCTTAACCCAGACCTAGACCCTGAACTTGGAAGTTGTCATTTTACATCTGGACTTGATGTCAGGAAACTGACCTAGAGCCCCAAACCCAAAGCCAACAAGCTCAGGCCAGTTTTGTAGTTCCTTCAAGGGCGCCTTTGAAAGGGCCTTCATGCTATGAGTTTTTTTTGACACTCACACTCGGATATGCCTGGCAAGGTCTGTAGCGATACTGATCCATCACTATGAGTTTAGGGTTTAGGGTTTAGGGTTTAGGCTTGAACCCTAAGGCCTAAACCCCAAACTGTCTGACAGTAGGGCTCTAGCCGAGTCCACGGAAGGAACCACGATCTCCTCGTACTTCGCCCCACGAGGGACCTCCAAAGCTTCAGGCTCTTAGGGTCTTTTTATTTGTTGAGGGCCTTTTTCCTCAGGCTCTTAGGGTTTAGGGTTAGGGGATATTTTCTTTGATCTAGGTTAGGCAGACTTTTCCAACCGCACTCGCCACTGGTGGGCCCGCACGGGTTTCGGCTTTGGGGTTTGGGGGCTTGGGGTTTAGGTCTTGGGTTTTTTTGGGTGTTGGCTTTGGGACTTGGCCGTGAGGGTTCGGGGTTTTTACACTGGAAGCCTGAAGTCAGAGTTAAAGGAAACTACAGGTGGGGAGTTTAGGGTACTATAGGGCTTCTATAAGGCTTCTATGAGGTATATAGACCTTCTTATGGGCTCCTATTCCGGTAACTAATCACCTGAAAATCTTGTAGACAGAGTCTGGAGTACTTCTGGGGGCTTGGGAGTTTAGGAAGTCGCAGAATGGAAGTGACTTTGCGCTGTCGGTTTCGGAAGTATAGGGTTATTGGGCCAAACCTGCCCGAACCTCAGAGGAACCCAAGAAGTGGACATCCAAGAAGGGCTGAGACTCCCTAGGAGAGCGAGTCTACCGACCGAAAGCCCTGCAGGGTCCCATCTTTAGAGGTTTAGGAGCTACGGGTTTTTCTTCCCCTCTCGCATGGCAGAGGGGGTTTTAGGGTTTAGGGTTTGGAGCTCCATGTTTAGAGTGGGGCCTGGAGTTAGGCCTCAAGCACAAAGCACGCCTTCGCACACGAGACACGAACCGCTCAGAAATCCCAGAGCGACCGACTAAGGCTTCGGAGGGTCACGTGATACAAGTTTAACTAGGTTCCTGATCAATGGGGAGCGGTCTTGCTAACCTTTTCGGGCCGACTTCTGAACCGCTCTTCACAATTGCACTTCTGGCCTCTTTGTCATAAGTTGTATAGACACCCGGAAGGCTGAAAGGCTAAACAAACAGAAGATACTATCCGCCACAACAAAAACCTTGTCTGGCCCTACAAACACGCCAAAAAGACTCTAAACTCCTTCTACACAAGGCCTGATGTTATCCTGGCCCCTCATGCCACGCCTAGGCCTAGGCAAGAAGCTCCGAAGCTACAGGTGGCCTCGAACTTCGGGATGGTAGTCATCCATGGTACGAACTGCTTCTTCTCCTGCAAGCTTCTCTCAAGGAACCGCTCGGGCTACTGCTAGGGGCTTCAGCACTCACAACTGGGCTAAGCCTGGCGAAGTTCCTGGTACGTAGGGCTAGGGTTTGGACCCTCGCAACTCAGACAGTGCAAGGGAAGATGGTTCGGGTCGGCAGACGGACACAGTCGCCCGAGTAAGTCAGCAATTGAAAGGGCCGCCGCTGCTGCTTCTACGAACGCTCGGAATGTGGTGCGGGAGCCGCTTTCCTTTTTTGAACGTCCCTTTTTCTGTCTCGCATGACCCGGGAAGCGGTTTTCCGCTGGGGCTACCTGAGGGCCTCCCTTACTTCCCAGTTTTGGATTTAGGGAAGTTAGGGTACATCTAGGATTTACGATCTCACAACTCGGACAAACCAGGCGAGGTTCCACAGTCGCAGGTCGGCGTGATCTGTCGTTTTGCTTACATGCTTCTTTCTTTCTAGGACCTCTTCTTTCTCCCCCCCTCCGCCCCCCGCCCCGTTCTGGGCTTCCAGGATTCAGGGCTATCACTGTCTACACACCCTAAACCCTAAACCCTTAACCCTAAACCCTAAACCCTAAACCCTAAATCTCACAAGATCTCACAAGGACCTTAGGCCTGAGGGGCCCCCGAGGCGAGGCAGGGACCTGGTCGTAGAAGTAGTCGTAGAGCATCTCCCCGGGCTCCAGTCCGGGCAGCTCCACGTCTGGCTGCACTGGCGGGGCCTTTGAGTCTCTGAGGGGTTTAGGGCTTAGGGCCTTTTAGGGTTTTTAGGGTTTAGGGTTTGTTAGGGTTTAGGGTTTAGGGTGGTTTAGGGCTGTTTAGGGTTTAGGGTGTAGGGGAGTCTCCGGAATCTCTTGACGCTCACAGGTAATCTTGAGGGTTTGAAAACCAGACAATCCAGCATGTGACTTTAGGGTGTAGGAACTTGCGGCTTTTGACACTTCGTCGTGCGTGTCATCCTTGCGCAGGGGCCATGCTAATTCTCTGTATCGTTCCAATATTATCGGAGGATTCTTTTCGGCTTTGGGGTTGTGGGAGGTCAGAAAAAGCTTCCAAATCTCTGAAATCGATGCACTACCGGTGTGCAAACTGGCACTGGGGCAGAGGCCGTTAGGAATGCTTTCTCCAACTCTTCGACTATCGATGGCCGCAAATCTTCATTCACCGTCGCCCAGACCTTGGAAACTTCAACGATCCCACATTCCACTTGGGAGGCGGCTGATGCTTTCGTCAAGAAATCGAGGCTTGGCCTCCGGCCAGGTCATTAAAGCCCTTTCGGCTCTTCGCATCACATGTAGCTCCAACAGACCAGATCAGGCAGAAGAAGAAGAGAGGGACCAAGTTCGACACCTCAATGCACGCCAGGATGCATGTTAGCAGCTAGGCCACCGCTAGAAACAGCATCCGCCATCTGTCTGCAGCCCTCTGCCCTGCGAGTTTTCGGGCTGAGCCCTCGACAAGCCTCGGTCGGACAAAGGCGGCAGAAAATGCCGGTTTGGGTTTAGGGTTTTAGGGTTTGGGGTTTAGGGTTTAGAGTTTTAGGGTTTAAGGGTTTTAGGGTTTAGGGTTTAGGGTTTAGGGTCCATCACAGGATGCACATCAGCACTGCGGCACGGTCCCCCCCCAAGCCATGCCAATGCAAGCAGGGTGCTCTGCGATGGCTTCTTTGAAAGAGGCCGCAGGCTTCAGCTCCGTCGGCTGATAGTTCACGAAGTAGCAGTCCATCAGCTTGAACAAGGCCTTCCCAAAACCAGCTTGAGAGGCCTTTCAGAGCAGCAAGACTCTGTCGCCTGGATGGTGTTGTTGTCGGTCGTAGTGACCTAAGTTTTCAGTGGAGCTGCCATGTGTTCTGGCAGGCTGAACTGGCTGAACATGGGCTTGTAGGTGCGTGAGCCCGGGGCACATCTGACCGTCTTCTTGTTCACCTCATGACGGTGGCTCTAAGGCCGCACCAGGAAAGAGGCTCAAGCAGAGCTGGGTAGTTGTCAAAATTATGGTCCCTTTTTGGGGTACCCTCAATAATAGGTGCCGTATTATAATAAGGACCCAAAAAGGGACCACACGGGACCACACCCAGCTGATGCTGGCAAGCAGCGTAGGCGATGCAAGGCGGCACGACTTCCTCGAGCAATCTCCGCAAGGTCTGAGCCTTGCCGGGGTGATGGTGCCGGTAGCTTCCGGCTCCCTCCTTTTTACTGTAGAATGTGGGAGTTTCCGAAAATAAGGGGTACCTTATTTTGGGGCCCTTATAAGAAGGATCCTACTATTCAGGGTGTTCTATTAGGGTCCCCTATTTTCGGAATCCCCCATGTAGACTTCGGCGAGTGGCAAGGATTGGCTTGAAGGAGAAGGTCTCGGGCAACGCCTTGGCAGTTGAGGCAGCCGCGATGTGGGCAGTTCTCTAAATTAGGGTCCCTCTTAGAGTCCTTTCTATAAGGGTGCCGCCTCCTTTTGGGTTCCTAAAAGGGACCCTGATTTAGAGAACTACCCATGTGTTTCCAACCGCGACGGGCTCCTGGCCTCCAGCCAGGAGTCGAAGAACGGCTGAAAGCCCAGACCTGACGTCACGATTGCTACTACTATGATACGAATACCAATGACAACACTACTACTCATAATAATGCCAATATGAATTGTTGTAAGTATAGTAATCATCGTAGTAGTAGTAGTAGTAGTAGTAGTAGTAGTAGCAGTCAGTCATGTTACTTGACACTGACATGTTCATCCGGCTCTCGACAATGCAGATCGGATCGCGGTCTCTAAGGCATGGGACTCTCTGGCTCCATGTAGATCATCCCACAACGAGAGACGGTCGCGGGCCTAGCACCGAACGGAGCGACAACGCGGGCACTGGGCGTCTGCAGCCATAGAAGATAAGCATGGAACCGCCTAAACACTTCCTCTCATGCGGGCAGGCCACGATGCCACTTCTAGATCCTCCACTTCGAACTGCATCCGCATTTTGGCTGTCAGTGCCTCAGGAGAAACTCGGAACTGACTCGGGCATGGCCTTTCCAGCGTCTTCTAGGAGATGAGATGGGGCAGGCAAGGCTTGGTGTTTAGTCCCGAGCAATGATCTCGCCACTGACCAGGCAAAGCTTCTTGTTGTCGTCCAAGACTGTGTTCATGCCTCAAGTCGTCGAAGGGCCCTGAAAACGCGCAGGCCCCATGGAATGGCTGCTTTGGAGATCCACTTCAATAAGCCCCCAGCTTTCGATCCACAAAGCATCCACGGGCCCATCAAACATGACCCAGTGATGGTCCTGGCTTCGAGGTTCCTACGCTGTAACACAAGCAAGACCAAAGAAACCACTGCAACTGTGCACCATCTCAGCCCGTCTACACCTCTGGGCTATGCAAAGGCCAGGAACGTCACAACCCTGAACCCTAGACCTCTAAACCTCTAAGCATAAATCGCAAAGCCCGGTTGAACCCCACACCCTGAACGGCGATCCGGATTGTGGTTGTCGCGGGTGGCATTGCGGATCAGCTCCGCAGCTACTCCATCGGACCACTCCCGCGTCACCTTCCAAGGCACGAGCTGAGGAGCTCGCACGACTGAGGCAGTTAGGGTTTAGGGTTTAGGGTTCAGGGCTTAGGGTGTAGGGCCAGGGTATCTCATGGAGTGACGTAATCGTTTTGGGTACCCAAGACAGGTCCGAATGCACAGAAGCTGCTGTGCGACCGTTCTGCCTCATCGAAAGCTCCGTAGAGTTGGTTCTGGGTGATGGCCTGCAAAGAGCATCTTGCAGCTATGACCTTTAAGCATCTTTTAGCAGTCTCTGTCACCACGGTCAGGGCCTTGGGGTTGAGCACGTGCACGTGTGTCTTTTGGAAAGGGGACTCCCCATCCTGGGGACGGAATGGCTGGCTTCTGCTCCTGAATTTGACTGCGCTGAAGCAACGGTGCCTTCGGATCCACCAAGGCCGTGCAAGCCGCCTGCGTGCCGGGGCACCACGGGCAATGAAAAGACTTCAGGGGCCCCCAAAGATGGCCTGCAGCGTGCGATAGCAACAGGTCTTTCCACCACCGGTTGGCCCGACAAGCATCATGCCATGACGAACCTGCCGGCCAGGAGCATTGAAGGGTCTGTCACTAGATTCGGGGCTCCGAGATGCATCCTGCCTGGATCATGTCAAAGAGCTCGAACTGCTTCTTAATGAAATACTCTGTTGGCTGCCTGGGAGGTTGGCGACCAACTTGCGATCGGACAGCAGCCATGGGCGTTTTCAAAATGCATCAACAGCGTTTACTATCCTGCTCCGCAATGGCGATCCAAGTGCCCCCAACCACTAAGAGCCCGGTCACCGCAAACCGAAGTCTGTAAAGAAGAATACGAACCAAAAGAAGGAGAACCACGCGTACCGCTTCACGGGCTCACGCCGATTCTGCCTGGCAAAGGCAGCCTCAACATGTTCCTGACAGGAGTGCCACCAAGGTGCAGATTCGTGTCCTTGGATTTCTCCTTTGCCATCTCATCCAACTTCCCATAGTCGATGGCGGGCCTTGGTGAAAGCTTTGGCTTCACGTCCTGCATACGATCTTCTCATCGGAGGATGCTCCGAGCTTCAGACTTTTCCACGCCTGGGAAGAGGTCCGAGATGATGTTGTAAAACAGCGGAAGGTCATCCTTCAGGAACTTTGGCACCTGCAGTGATGCCGAATGCGCGGCCGTCGTCAGAACCCCAGATCAACCACTCCAGTAGAGCTTGGCTAGGCACATTGACATCTTGCAGGGCTCTGAGCAGGATCTGACCCTCACTTTGGTCCTTTCATGGCATCTTGAATCAAGGCAGGCGACCCCGATCTCTGCTGCAAGGGCCCCAGACCGGATACTTGCGCTTGTTGAGGCCAGCGGCTTCAATCACAGTTTTGACCTTGCTCAATGGTTCGCGCATGGGCTACGATTTACTTGCACCGAGTTCCCCGACAGCTCGCATGCCGTAGTCGTAGTGGCTTTGGGCAGAAAGCTGCTCACTGCAGAGCTGGAAGGTCGTGACCTGCGGAAGCTGTAAGATGGACACTCACACTCGAGCAATGACACAAAGGTCTGCAGACACTACTGAGGCGACGATACAACTACTCCAGGCGAGGCAGGTGCTTCGAGGTCTGCTGATGTGAAACCAAATTGGATCAAGACCCTTCGCACAACAACAGCCACAAAAGATGAAATCTAAAACGGAGATGTAAGGTTATGCATACCGGTAGGTGCTGCCACCGCTATGGCACGAAGAAACACGTAGGCGGCATCATGGCCGCTTGTCGATTGCATGCAGGACCCCAAGAAAATTTCCCAACATGGTTTAGGTTTAGAAGTTTAGGGGTTGAGCACCGGAGAGGCAAAAGACCGAGATCGCTGCCATTTTCTTTGCCAGATGCCGCCCCTTTTCGAAGCCGAACGCGTAGAAGCTGATCTCGCCTGGCGTCCCCGAGATGAGGATGTAAGACAACAGTAACCGCATGAAGCAAAGATAGTAACAAGAACAATCCGAACGGCAACAAGGACAAGAAGAAGAGCAATGACAAAGATAGTAGTGACAGTAATCGCAATCCCCCCCCCTTGCAGACAAGGAGCCGATCATGGCATAGTCAGGAACCATCATGGCCTGATCATCGAAACTGGTGGCGGGCTCTTGCTTAGACAGAGGTCCTCTAAAAAAAACCTTGCTGTTAAGAAATGATATTTTCTCGGTGTCGTCGCACAGGGATAGTGCTGAAAACTGGAGGTTGTGAACTCGGCCCCCTAGTTTCTGCAGCTGGTGCTTCGAAAGAACTTGGCCCTAGCAGCTCAGACGCTTGCCATGGGTCGAAACAAGGCAGCCAAGTTGTCGGGAAGCTCGCTTCGCCCTGCCTGCGCTCAGGATGTCGGGTCCGGGGTTCACAGCTTCTGACATCACACAATAGAGTATAGTATAGTTTATACTGTAATAAAACATAGTATGATATCATATAATAGGGTAGAAGGGCCAGACGCTGAGGGCGAGACATAACCTGGGTTCATCGTGATGAAGACCTGTGGCTAAAACAAGCTTGAACCTCACTTCCTGCGACTTGACACTGCGGAAAAAGAGGCGGAGCCCGCAATTCTTCAAGCAAAGGCCCCTGCGTTGAAGGTGGGCCGCATCATGATCAAGGTAGAGTCAAACTCCAGCTCCACAGAGTCCTAGGCCCAAAACTGCGACGCGCTTCCACTATATTATCAGCCCCCGACTATGACGAAGCTTGTATTCATGTAGTTGCGGTTGTTCTGATTGTCATCCCTGCTACCGAGCACGCGGCGTTGTACGACGTCAGCTCCCGCTTCGCGCTGAAAAGCTGGAGCAGCTGCTGGGCGATGACACTGAGCACCTGTGAATGAGCCATGTTGTAATTCCAGAACACCATAGCATTGCTGAACGCCAACCAGGTTGTAGTGTGTTTTATTTGGATGTATAATTTTGGGATATAATCTGACATCCTGTCGTGAGAATTTCGCCGCATGGCCTCAATGTAGATACGGTTGAACTCGTCAAAGCAACACCAAGCGCCGCTTGATGCTAGGCCCTTGAAGAACTTGCCAACCTGGCAACATGTGGTTCCTTCTTTGATGCTGCAACACACGGGACTCGGTGCACCATGAGGTAGTCCATTTCTGGCGAGCAATTGAAGACGACACACCTGGCAAGGTCACAAGCTTTGGGGCACAGATCCACAGCTAGGCTGAACTGTGTTGTGGGATGTTCATGCCATCGAATACTCTTTCTCCCTTCCACGGCTCTTCTGTACAATGTCGGCTCAGGGCGAATCACTGGCGATGTGTTGCGTCTGCCTCTCCGTTAAATTTGCCTGGGCCATCGAGCCCGGCCATTTTGCCGACACTTATGGCCGCGTCGAAAACTTCAGTGTCCGCTTGTCGTGGTTGGCCGCCCTCGAACAGAAGTCGCGATCGCCACGAAGCCGTGCTGACGCAAACTTCATGGCACGCCAGTTTTGGGAAGTTGCCGACAGAACAACGTCAGCATCGTCTTTCAAAGCAGTCGAGGCATGAGCTATCGCCAAGGGATCCTCGGCGATAGCTGCGAGGACTACGTGCCGGTCATCACGCAAGTGCGGGGCGGCAAGCTGGAGGGATCGCCCACTTTGCGAGACAGCCGCCAAGACAATCGCCTTGTCCTGCAGCCGGTTTTTGCTAGCGTACTGCAACGCTCCACCTTCCTGCCTGACCGCAGCCAAGACAATCCGCGGATCGTCTCTGTAGGTTTTGGGCACAAACTGAAGAGCAAGGCCCTGACATGTGACGGCAGCAAGAACCAAGCTGCGATTGCAGATGGCAAAGGCCATTGCGGCTGGATTCTCCGCCACTGCCGCCACTACTATTTCCTCGTCTGACCTGTATGCATGGGGGACCTTTGCAAGTAACAAGCCACTGCTCTCAACAACCGTCCGAACGAAGTGGCGGTCTTTCTGGAGTTCTGCGGGTGCCTCCGTGAAGCAGCTAACTCCAGTGCGGATATCATCAATAGTTCTCGCCCATATGGGATCCAAGCGGACAAGCAGTAAGTCTAGCTTCGCGGCAACATCGTCCATCTGCCGCTCGCCGGCACGTCTCACCTCGAGGTTGTTCCTTAAAGGGGACGAGCATGTCGCCAATAAGAGGCTTTGCTCCAGGACCGGAATGTTCAGTTTTTCCTCCAGCTCCTCCTTGACCTGACGGATTCGCCAAGATGGAGAAGCAAAAATGGAGATCAACTCCTTCCCGGCGAGATTTCGTACCACTACATGGAGATCATCGGGCATGGCAGCTTGAACCCAAAGAGCAACAAAAAAATGGAGCTCAGACCCCTTGTCCGCTGACATGGTTATAATTGTGTTATGGTGTTCTTGTCGTGACCACTCCTGACGTGATTCTTGTTGTTCTTCTTGTTATGCTGCTCATTGTTGTCATTTCAGTTGTGAGTTCTGATTCTTACCGCTATTATGTTAAGTGTTTTTGTTGTTTGTATCGCTCTTGGGAATAAAAATGCACTCGGCATCTCTGAGACATCTGGGTGCCCAGCTGCTTGGCCAGTGCTTTGGCCAGATCCTTCGTCGTCTCCGTCTTGCCGGTACCAGCCTTGGATGCCCCGTCCGGCAGATGTCGGTTCATAGTATATACTTTAACCCCAAACTAGATATACATATAATCATATATATATATATATATACACATATAAATATATATATATATATATATATATATATATGGATAGGGACTACTTTAAGGCCAAAGTATCAATTCTTGATGGCCCTTGAGCCTCTGGGACTCCTGGGGCGTGGACAGGCCCGGCCGGTGCACCTCCCAGGTTCAGGCCTCAGCCCCAAAAAGAGGCGCCGAAAGGCCAAGGCGGGGCTCTGCTTAGGGTTTAGGGTTTAGGGTTTAGGGTTTAGTTTAGGGTTTAGGGTTTAGGGTTTAGGTAAGCTCCGTGCTCTGGGCACCCATCAGGGTCATGTAGCACCTCATTCTGACGGCCGTGTCTGGTCTAACACGGGCGAGATGAACTGCAGAGGCTCACATGTCTGTGAGGGGAGTGATCACCAGGCGGAAGGAATTTCCCAAGTACTCATAGCCTCGGCAAGAACGAAGAAACGGCGGGCAGTGGTTGATGCCATCTTTCTTACTCGGCTTTCAGCCATACGGGAAAGGAGTCTGCACCATGCGGACCTTGCAAACACGAATCGTGCACGGACAAGCGACAAACATCAGGCAGGTCATGCAGATGTCCCCCCGAGGCCACGACCCACATGTTCTCCTTACAAGCAGATTCACTGTGCATGTGAGGGGTGGGGTGGCCTTTTTCTTTCACCCTTCCAGGCAATCTTCAAGTCAGAAGCTTCCCGATGCCATCAGGTCTCAGAGTTTCGATCGTCCATCTCCCAGTAGTACCGCAGCTGCGAAATCCACTCAAAGGACCTTCGAGGCTTCGAGTTCTCGCATGCTTGGTGCTGCGTGGCACGCACAGACCCAAGGCTCAGACATGCAGTCGTCGATCTTTTCCTTGGCAAGCTTCTCCACGGTGTCCTGTCGCACCGCCTTAATTGGGCCATCCTGGTAGCACCTCTAGTGCTGCTACTGGCGCTCGCGTGGTTTATGTCTTTCTCCAGGTTAATTCTACTTCTGCTGCGCTCGTAGTAGTAGTAGTCGTCGTCGTCGTCGTCGTCGTCGTCCTCGTCTTCGTCATCGTTGTCCTCGTCGTCGTCGTCCTCCTCGTCGTCCTCGTCGTGGTTCGTCGTCGTCGACGGCTTTGACAATTATCAGTACAGCAAAACCTCACAGCTACCACCTGAACCTGCATCGCTCCTCGTGAACACTAAACCCTACACCCCCGTGTAAGCGTCCTTTGCATGGACATCGATCACCACGAGAGCTCCAATGCTCATCCTGCAGAGGAACAATCAATGGCCGGACCCATCGTTTTGTGGAACTCTGTACACTGTGCTTCATACCATCTGGTGCATATATTGTATACTTACAAAGCACAGGTTACATATACACATCACACATTATATACATACTATACCAAGAAGATGTGGGCTGCATATGCACATACTACTCAGCACAGGCCTCTGCAGCTTCGTGATGTCGCCGCGCACCAGCCGGACCTTAGTCTTTCCAAAGTACGGAGCGTGCTGCACGGCCGGCGGTATTCCGGGACACCCGCCAGGTCCAGCAGCTGTTCGCTCAGCTGCGTGAAATACTCTGCGGTTTTCCCGCCTCAAGACATCTTAAAGAGACTGTCGTATGCAGTCTGGGCCCTCAAGAATTCAGACAGAACTTCGTGTGTATTCTGTGCAATCGGCCTTTGATTGCTTCTTCCACCTCTGCAGTCCTTGACATGGTTCCATGATAACCCACATCTACTCACGTCATGCGTGAATTGCAACTTGCTGATGCTAGTCTCTGAATCTGAGGCGTGCTCCAGTGCACTTGGCTGGAGTTTAAGCAAACCTGCCCCGGATTCTGCAAGACCTTGGCGGAACGTCTCAGGCCAGTGGGATTCTTCGGCGCGGTGAGGCTTCTGAAAGGGTCCGGCCCATTCGGTCCGCGGCAGTTCTGGGTAGGTTTCCACCTGAGGCTGAAGGCTTGTTTGCTCCGAAAGCCTTGACGGTTTTTTCGACGCCCAAGTGAGCCATGATTTTCGTTGTTTCTGCTATACACTTGCCGACCATGTAAGGGACAGGAGCTATCAAAAACAAAAGAGCAGTGAACGACTGGGGGAGAGAGACAGGTTTGAGCGGAACCAGCACCACTCCTTATGCTGAAGTTGTTGCAAGGGCCGATACATCTCTGACTTCCAACTTGCCGTAGTCTCACCCGTGCTCTGAGGTCTTCTTCTTCTTCTGATCAAATGGGAGTTTCAGAAAATAGGGGGTACCTTATTTTGGGGTCCTTATAATAGGGATCTTATTATTTAGGGTACTATATTAGGGTCCCCTATTTTCGGAAACCCCCAAATCTCGTTCGAGGTTGGTGGTCAGAAAGCAGGCAGTCGAATCGCTGCGCCCCAACGTGGATGCACTCCAGTCTGTGGTCCAGGCCCCCTTTTCGACTTCAAGATTAAAAAGCCACCCGAGTTTCCCGTACTGCTTGGCACTCACTCCTCCAACACTTGATCTTCCGCCCGCCTTTAACTGCTGCCCTGCCTTAATCCACTCTGTCTGTCTCTGTCGCGTGCTCTCCGCTGGCGTAGGTCTAGGAATCTGGCTCCGATGCGACAGACATTTCGCACTCCAGCGATCATCTCGTTTTCCACTTCCTCAGAAGGGCAGGTCAAGCCTGCAACATCGGATGCATGTGCTGTGCTTAGACCCCCGGTTTCAGGCACTCTGTCAACTTTTTTCTGGCAGTCAGGTCGACGGTGGCGGTGGTGGGGGTGGCGGTGCCGGCGGTGGGCCTGCGGAGGCTGGCAAAGCCTCGGGCACCTGCAGCGTCACAGTCATCACGCCTTCGCTCTCCGGCGGCACCGTGAGGGAGTGTGCATGGCCAAGGTAGTTGACAAGGAAACTGCTTCCGGGCTCGGCATTTTCGGGAAGGGCAACCTCCACTTGGTGAAACTGATAGCCTGCGACTGGACCTTTTTGGCATTCATCGGGTTCCCAGTTCTCGCGCACCGCGTTGAACCTTGGCTTGGCTTTGCATCTCGCAACGCAGAAAACCACGAGGAAACTAGCCAGCAACTAGCCTTGCACCCATAGGGCTTGCACAGAAAGCAAGACCAACTATCCCACGGACGAGAAGCATCAGCTCCTGAAAGCTGGAGAAGTCCTCACTTGCTGTTAAAGCCGTCATCAGCGCCTTGAAGTTGGGGTCGTGCCCATACGCGTCACTGCAAGCGCTGAAATACTCCATGAAACGCGTGCAGTCTGCATCGCAGTCGTCTAAGACCTTCAACAGCCGGTCCTGGGCATCAGCACATGTCTAGCACGCTTTTCCTTGAACAAGATCACAGAGCAAGAGCCATAACCCTAAACCCTAAACCATAGTAATAATAAGACCTAAAGCCGCCCATCAATATGACCATTGGTCCTTTACGTCACCACGCCTAAAGACATCTGATCTACACTCATCTGAAGCACCCTCCATGTGGCATAAGGGCAGGCAACAGCTTCGCTTACAACGCAGCTCAGGCTGTTGAATTTTCACACCGCACCTCGTAGAGCTTCTTGTATTTCCGGTGAATATTCACCCACTGCATGGGACAGCTCCCATCAAAGTGAACTACAGCAAACTCTTCAATGTGGCAGTTTATGAACGTCTCCACCTCGTCTTGGAACTTCGGATCTTGAAATTCCGACATAACGCAAGTGGCAACCTCTTGCATGGACATACCATTTTCAGCGGCAGCAGCCATGGTATGGCGACAAGCTTACTGTTTCTTGGATTTACTGGATTGAGGGGAGACGGCTTTCTCTCTCTCTCTCTCTCTGCCATGGATTGGAAACATGCATACATGCTTCTTTTGGAGGAGAAGCCCTCGCATGCTTTACTTCCAGGTTCAGGGCTTGCCCAGCTTTTGAGCTACAGACCTTTCATCTGCAAGCCAGAAGCTTTCAGACTGCAGGGGCAAGGATACGGCTGCCTTCAAAACAAGAAGCCGGTTCTCACAGAAATCTGAGAATCGATCCGTCATCCAGGTCTCTACGTTCTTGTCCTTTGTTACCACGGGATTGACCTGACATCGTGCACCAGCTTGAACGTGTCACTGCCATCATCTAAGACCAGCTGGCAGGAGGCTAAGCTCTGAACAAAGTCGATGATTTCTCCTTCCTTGGAGTGCATCTGGGTGGCCACAAGCTGGTCCGTGAACGTCAGCTTCTTCATCGCCTGGCGATTCCCGAGAAAGTCGTGGGTCCCATGCTGTCCGTGCCTGACGCACGTGCCGCTGCCTCGAAGACTTTCGACAGGAAGGGTTGCACCCTCAAGGGATCCTGCAAAGTGACAAAGGTCACTTTCTCGTGCACCAAATCCAGAATCACAGCGGCGCTTATCATGCCTGCAATTCTATGAGTTCAACTGAGATATGAATTAGGCCAGTGTAGATCCCCAAGCAGTGATACAGTGATACAGCACCACGGCGACCATGACGACCACTACGACCACCACTGGAATCACCACGACCACCACGACCACCGACACCAACAGAAGACCACCGCCCAACCAGGACACCACCCCGCCGTGTGTGGGATTCAGAGACACCTCACCACTTCGCGCTTCCACACATTGCCACATGTACTGGCGGGAGAGACACCTCACCGCAGCGGTGGTTGGCGAAACTTTCACGGCGCGCGCCGCGTGGGAAACCTTGCCAAGTCTATTTAATCCTTTCGTAAGAAACCCATAGTCAGCCCATAGTCTCTGTGTGTGTTTGGGAAAAGTCTTACCACAAGTACATGTACGTGACTGAAGCTCACTGACTCACACTAGCAATTCTGGCCAGAACTACAAGCAGTATAAACACTACAAGTAACAGATCCGTTTCCGGTCATCGGCAACCCAGTGCCTTGGTCTGAGACAGGATCTCCAGCAACTCATCGTTGGACAGGAAGTAGAAGCGCGCGAAGGCAGCGCACCTAGGGTTCTGGGCTTTTGGTTTCGGGTTTCGGCGCTCAAGCTTTTCCCTCTCGCTGCGGCAGAGAGCGAAGCTCACAGGCGCTCAAATTTAGGGTTGAAGGCTTGTCCGCAGCAAGCTCCCTAACTGCAAAAGCTCCATGCGCGTGAGCTGGATTGGTGTTGCTGCATTCCGCTTTCACGACCATGTAAAGATCCTTGCCGGTGGACTAAGGACTCCGTGCTCTACATCCCCGAGGAAGTTGTACTGATGGACGCACGGAAGTTCCTAGGTGAGGTCTGGTCTATCGGCTCGGCCGCATGCCCTGGAGCTGGACACTCTACTGTAAAAACGCACTGTTCAGATCACTGGCGCGCGACGGAAAACCTGCAGCACTGTCCATGCAGGTTTAACAGTTCAACATAAACTTCTCCTAAGCCGAAGCTTTCAGGGATTAGGTGATTAGACCCTAAACCCTAAACCCTAAACCCTAAACCCTACACCCTAAACCCTAAACCCTAAACCCTAAACCCTAAACCCTACAGGGATGTAGGGCTTCGGTTTCGGGTTCGATGCTTCTCAGGGGGCCCGTGGCTGCGAGAGCCAGGAGTCGCACTTGGTTGCCAGGTAGTCGTCCAGGCCTTTCTGGACCTTGCACCATACAGCACTATGTAGGGTTTAGGGTTTAGGGTTTACACTCTCACAACTCGGACAAGCCAGGCGAGGATCCATAGGGTTTAGGGTTTAGGGTTTTGGGTTTAGGGTTTAGGGTTCTCGGAGAAGTGTGGGATCACAGTGAGCAAGTTCGAAGATCTGGGAAGAGACCAACGAGACGTTGCTGCCATGACGCGATGTCCAGGTCTCTGTTCACAGTCTGCCACTGCGTCAGTAGACCCTCCTGAAACAGAAGGACCAGTACTGTGTTCGCACGCAATGGAAGCTTTCTGGGGCTCCTGTGTGCACTGGGTCAGGGCGTGGCCGTTGCTGTGTACCCGGCCTTGCAGAATGCAAGCCAACTGCTCACTTATCTCCCGCTCTCAGCTGCCAGCGCGGCCCCCAGGCTACATGAAACCACCACAATGCAAGGCTGGCGCTCATGGTCTGCCGCCACTTGCCTCGAAATCTCAGGCGCTTAGCAAATGCACACGGCAACCTCTCCTTTGGTCCGCTCAGCCCTGCACCGTCTACGACCTTAAACTTCTTGCCCTCGGTGGGGAGCTGCTTCATGATGTCCGGCCTCGGCTGTTCTTGTAATCAAAGCGACCGGCGAGAGCCTCAAATCATCTCATCGGACACTCAACGATCTGGGTGCGTGGCGAGTCGAAGATGGGCTGCAAGTACATCCAAGCCTTTGGGGCATGAGATCAGCGCATTAAGTGGCATCAGAAGGCCCAAAAGACTGCGCCCAGAATGATCCCGAGACTGCGGCTCGCTGTACTTTTAGCCACTGATCCAAGCCTGTAAGCAAGAAAACGCAACGACTCACAGTCCCACGAGTCTCAAATCCAAGGCGTGGGCACTCTGAGACATACATGAGTTTGTCGTTCCACTCGTCGATGTCCTCTTTGAACGGCTTGTTGAAGGGCGAGAACCTGGGCCGACAGGATTCAGCAAAAGCCATCCCACCAAAGGCGCCAATTGCTGGGGTCTCTGCTGCATCGCCTGTGTCACAACAATCTGTTCGTCCAAAACGGCCATGACCTGACCACGGTTGCACCCGTTCGCCCGCCATCCTTCCTGTGAGCCTTCCGAGCTCGCAGACCTCGTCGGCCCCCTTGAGAATGTAGGTCCCCTCAGGTGAGCTTCAATCAAAACGTTCTGTTGCTGACGCCGCTATCCTCACGTTGGATGCGGTCTGGTGTCTGTTGTTCGATAGGGCTCGCTGCAGTCGAAGAAAACCTTGTCCCAGGCCGCCTGCGATCACAAACGGCTCCCATGCGTTGTCTACACGGGGCAAACTGCGCCTGCATGCTCTTCAGCTGGTTCTCAATGTTCTGTTCCTGAAGCTCGACACAATGGATTCTTAAACTTCTGGGGCTTTTTCATACGGAGCTTGCAAGGACTTCATTATAGGGGTCATGCGGGTTTTCTGGGTGTTATCAGGGTATGGGAATGGCCTTGCCGGCACGGTCCCCAATGTCCGCAACGGCAGCGGCATGCTCGACCATACCAAGCCTTGAAGGGCGGGAGCGGGAGGCTTTACTAGGCCATAAGGGCAGGACTTATTAAATGTACAACAATGATACGAATAATTCACTATGAAGCACAAGAGACAAGAGCAATAGTAAAAATCATCATCGCTGTTCAATATGGGCTTGCAAGCGCATGCAACTGACGACGCAAGATGAAGGCTTTGTGCCCATGAGGAGGGCACTCGACGAACTTCTCGAGGGTGAAGTTCTGGACAGTGTATGTGCTAAAAGTGCGCGTTTCCACAGCTCCCCGGCACTCCGTGGCCTCCATGGTCGGGGTGACTTCGCTGCCAACAAGGTTTGACACCTGCTGCCAGTGCCGCTCGGCCATGCCCGGATTCCTCAGCGATGGGGTGGATCTCACGAGGGTACCAGGGTACCAGGGCTTCCCGTGGCCCACACCGGAGGCCGACTACAATCGGCACTTTTGGGACGAAGGCATCAATGGCTTCCTTTAAGCACAAATCGCTCACCAGAGTGTCCATGCCAAGGGGTTTGGTTATGTCCTTGATGTGCCGCGCAATGTTCAACACCTGTCAGGTTCAGAAATCAAAGGGTGGGACGTCAGTGCTTCTGGCTCTTGCCTTTGCAAGGTTTCAGGTTTCCAGGCTTCTGGATTTCAGCACAGCAGTCACAATCGGGCACGGGCAGGGCCAGGTCTCTGCAGATCCAGTCGGGAGTACTTTTCCTTAAAGCTTGACACAGGCTAGTCCAGGTTCTCTCCCTGAGGACCTGCTCAATGCTGCACACGCAACTCAGCAAGCTTGACGACCAAGCGGTCAACCGCAGGACTTGCGGTCGCAAGTAAGGACGTCCATTCGGGAGCATGTCCCCGAGCGAGAGTTGCACTACTTTTTCCCGGTTGTCCCTTGCTGAGAGGCTCCGGAAACTTAGCAAGTAGATCTTAGCTAGGATCACCCGCGTCCCCTGATCCTTCAAGTATGCTTTCAACTAAACTCTACACCCACGAACCTCAAAGCTCTTTTTTCCTAATTTGCTTCTTGGCTCCAGTCGATGTGTACCGCGGGAAACCCTGTTTTCGGCTAGGCTATCGACCATCCAAATGATTTCGGAAAGGAACAAACCAGGATGACGCACCAGGGAATATGAGCGAGATACGAGAGTTAGCAGAGTGTTGCTTGGGGCTCCCTCTGATACCTGTACCATAGTATATCGCAATCCCCCTTCGAATTCTTCAGGCGCGTCCTATCGGGTAAGGCCGCGCCTCGTCGCATCCTTCCCGCTTTTCGAAGGCCCTGACGGCCTTGAAGAGAGTCTTTGTGCCGGCCTGGCTTGAAGGCGGTGAGGAATCTGCCTTCAGATTACCGGGGCTCAGGGGCCTTACTGCTTGTTGGGTTTCGGGTTCCGACTCACACACTCGCGCAAACGAGAGCATGGCAAGAAGGTCCGAGCTTGCTACATGGACATCAGAAATAGATTGACAAGAGGAATCAGTAGTCTAACATCGTATTTTGGACGGGATGACGCAGAGAGCTACAGACACAAGCAGAAGGGGCAAGTGCAACCAGAAAAGCCCCGCCATAACGCTGGACTCGCAAGACTTGGCATCCACGGTCTGGAAAGGGCCCGTCCTGGGGCCACAGGTGCGGGACAATCTCACTGGCTAAATTTCATGAGAGGATGGACACGCAGACTAAGGAGCATACAGCCATTTCTTGGAGTCGTATGTCCAGTTGTAAGCTGTGACCTCAAACCATCGGCAAGCACATTAGATGCCGTCCACGCCCCTCTGGGTCCCTAAGATCGCGACCCAGAGCTGTGAGAATGGCTCCCACCTTGTTTCGTCGCTAAGGTAGTGTTACAGGTTGCTGCAAATGCCACGACCCACTTGGGTAATCTTGGGTAGTTCTCTAAATTGGGGTCCCTTTTTAGGTCCCCAATATAGTACGGCACCCTTATAAAAGGAACCCTAAAAGGAACCCTAATTTACAGAACCACCCACTTCATGTTCCACGGAAGTCGGTCGCCCTCCTATCATCACACTGACTCTCTTTAGTATGCAAGCAGCAGCTCAGCCGTGGGCTCTTTGGTTAGCTGCGCGATCATGCCATAGTCAGTGGCCTGGTGAGGTTTACATGAAACTACATATACTATCTATATCTATATATATATATATATATGTGTGTGTGTGTGTGTATATACGTATATACATATGTATATATACATATACATATGTATATATTCATACTACACATACCCTATGTAAATAATCATATACATATATATAATTATACTATATACTATATATATACTCTATATATATATATACACACTATATGTATACTATATATTATATATATATATATTATATTATAATATATATATATATATATTATATATATATACTCTATATATATATATATATATCCGATATATACTATATATATATATATATATATAAATACATATGTATACATACTCATTTTCTATATATACTACATATACTGGCTTCTGTGGCCCTTTAAGTCGCTTTCGAGGCTGCGCGGCCTCCTTGCCAAAGAGCAGCTCCCGAGAGTTGAAAAGCTTGGCTTGGGTCGCGGCCTTATGGCAGATTGCTTGGGTCTTGGGTTTCGGGTTTTTTGGGTTTAAGGCTTAGGGTGACTCCCGGACCTGCCGGATGAGCGGATTTGACGGTTTAGGGTCTGGAGGAAGCCAGACAGCAACGCTCACTCAAGCATCGGCAGACTTCAATCGCTCGTTCACGCTCTCGACATTCTCGTAGATCTCGTCCAGCTTTTCGAAATCCTGAGGTTGGGCGCACAAAGCCAGTTCTACGTTCTACGACACTGCTGCACCTCCAAGCTGTGCAGTCAAGTCTCATTGTACTGGGCAAAGTTTTCGATGGTGTTGGCCTGAAGCTCCGTCCCTCCCTACTGTCTCTCGCTCCCTTCGAACAGCCACGCCACCCTCGACATTCTATTCCTTCTGAGGGCGTGGCCATATCCACAATCATGTCATCAAAGTCGGACTGCTCTTGCTGTTGGGCTGCTGCAAAGGACGCCTCCGAAAAATTCGGGCGAGGGCAATGACAGCTGTCTTCTCTATACCTCGTTTCCGGCTACTTATAAGAAGGATCGTGGTGCTGGGGATATGCTTCAGGGGTCCTCGAGGTGGGAAGGACGCGCCTCCAACTCTTTGATGTCGTCCTCGACTTTCGCCACGAGGTCGTAGGTGGACTTCGGACAGCCAAAGACTCGCCAACCTGAGGTACGGATCTTTGCAGGGGTGTTGGTAAGCGAAGAAAAGCTACCTCCGGAAGCTCAGCTGTAGAAACTCTCGCTCGGCTTCTTTCTCAACTCTACTGGCTCGGACACTCTGACTTTCTGGTCTGAAGGCATACTGGAAGCTCCGTAGATTTATCGACTAGGAGACCACATGCAATTGGATTAGGATCCACCGTGGGAAGACTAACTGCTGCAAGACGTGTGAAAATCAATGCCGTCGGAGGGATTTCGTGCTTAATGCCTCAGCATTCGCACTCTGGGGTTCATACGTTGGTAGAAGTCATCAGCGGTCAGCTGCACACCAAACTCTTCCAGAACGCTGTATGTATCCAGGCACCTCCGAAGTACGCAGTTTCGGTGCACTGGTCTAGCAGCGAGTCAAGCAGGCACAAGCCATCCGGATCTTGTCCGACCATGCAACTGACTGGAGTGCCTCTTCGTGTCGGGCGCCATCCTTTTCAGGAAACGCACAGGAGAACAATGCCCTCACATTCCCTGGATCGGTCGGTTCAGATATCGTGCTCCCATTCAATGCCCAGTGACTTCATGATTTCGGCAGGGATGGTTGCGATATACCTGTCATGTGAAAGGCTTGTGACGTCCCGATTCTGCTTCGGCCTGGCCGAGGTCAATGCTCCCGCATTGCAGTGACTTCTTCGATGTCCTGAAGATACTCGTGACAAGGTGGCGCTGGCTCGAGCAAGAGCCCGGCTGCGTGACTCACAAGTTGGCGCAAACAATGTCGCCGCCGATCCTTCGGCGACTTGCGTAGCTGCGAGAAGACGCCGGCATAAGCATCCGTGATTTCCTGCCGGCTCTGAAAGAGCAAGCAAAAAGCAACCTTGAGCTTTCGATCTCCAGACTTAGAGGACCAGCAATCCTGGGTGCCATCCCGGAACTTAGTCCTCGGATTTGCCACGCAATCTCAAGTCATGGCCAGAGGCCCAGTGCTGCTGCGCATGCAACAAAAAGAATGCTCATGTCAACCACACACACCTCTGGCAGTTCACGATATTAGCTGAGATTCATCATCATGTCGAGGAGGAGCTCTTGAATCTTCCTTGAGTAGAGTCGCTGGGTCTCTTCAAAAAGATGCAGGGCTGCTCCATAACATGCATCCATAATGCATACATCCATGCATGCAGACGGACAGACAAACAGACATTGCACATATAAAAAACATATACATACATATATGTATACATATACATATATATATATACGTATGATATGTATGTATATGCAGTATATGCATGCATGCAGACAGACAGACAGACAGACAGACAGACAGACAGCCAGACAGACAGACAGACAGACAGACAGCCAGACATGTGTATATATATATATATATGTGTGTGTGTGTGTATATATATATATATATGCACACACATACAGAATATCAGTCCGGTATGTTCCGAAACTCCCAGCGGCCACCCTCGGGCAGATGCAGCGCCGGGTCCCGCACCGATGCTTTCCGGCCAACGTCTTCCGTATCTCTTGGCAGGACACCTGTAATATATCAAAAAGAATAGTTGTAGTAATACCAATGCTAGTAATAAAAACAATAAAGCACACCTGTAATATCAATAAGAAATAATAGTAGTAATACCAATGATAGTAATAAAAACAATAATTTCATAATAATAGTGAGACAAATCATCATTGTAGTAATAGTCACAGTTGTAGTAATGATAGCAATAGTAACACATATAATCGAACGCAACCGAGGCAGCTTTCAGAAGGGCTCAAGCTTCAAGGAACCAAGAAACTTCTGGGCTTCTACTCCCAGAGGTTGAGGCGCCGACCTCGAAAAGACCGACCACGATGGACTCGGGGATGGACTCCAATATCTGCCGGCAGCTTTGTTGGATGCTGGGGGACTTTCGCCACCGCAGAGTGCCGAGCTCGGGCCTCGTGCTCCTTCTGCACCTGCTCCAAGATGCAGTTCTTCGCTTCTGCTGTTGTAATGTCTGCGTCCGCCTGAGCAAGGTGGAGAACTTAACCCTCTGACACTCACTCCGCACGTTTGCGCTCCACCTTGGCTTGAACGAACTCTGCTGGCTCCAGCTGCAGCAGATCTTCGTACCTTCCACCACCAGGCCGAAGGGTCGAGACACGCTCTGGTGCGTCTGTCGGAAGCCAACTCTGCTTGTAACTATGAACTCGCATGAGGCCTTGAAGGGATTTCAGGTAGTATGTTACTTCTTGTAGTATACTGTATACTATACTATGAACTGACATGAGACCTTAAAGCTTTTGACTTCAGCTCTTGTCCTTCCACCTTCCTCGGGGCGATCTGACCTTCGTCTCGCCTCGTGCACCTCCCTTTGTCGCCAGCACTGCCAGAGCTTGGCTTCACTAATAGTATACTATAGTATAGTATACTATATTATCGTATACTATACTATAGGTCCGCTGGGGATGCATAGCTAGGCTCGGATTGCCGACTCGAAGAAACCTCCCACGAATGGTCAAGATTCTGTAGTCGGCGGTGGAGAGAGACGGCCGGGGCTTTCGGCATGCACAGGGCCAAGAAACAGATCCACCAGGAACACACAGGATTTCGAGTCGCACCAATGGGCGGATGCGCGGGGGGCAGAGAGCGCTAGAGCGGTTGAGAGGCAGACTGAACATGCAGGCTTGAGACACTTACAGCTCTGCCAACTTTGAGCACAGTCCCCCTCTGCCCAGCATTCCAAACCCTGTCTTGCAGATTCCGTTTCCCCCACCATGAAAACCATAATGTCAAGCAGACAACAAGCCAAAACCTGCCGGAGGGGCGGGGCAAACAGTGCCAGGTAGTCCTGAAGAGCGGGGAGCGCCTGACCAGCGAGAAAGCTAGCTGTCAACTCGCATAACACGATGGGGGTGGGGGTGTTTTGCTTTGCTGCTTTTGTTTGCGTACCCTCTGGCTAAGTCTAATTCACTATCCGGGGTCCTTGCTTGGGGCTTGGGCAGCACAATCACTCTGAGCTCCAAGCCTGTGCACTTCCACATCCCTACTGCCCCAAGCATAGGGTCTGGAGTTTACGGTGGCAGAGCCCTCATCGTCTTGATCTCTCCATGTTTGCTTTTTTCTCCCAGGCGTAGGCGATCCAGCCGCGACGGTTTCCGCTTGGCTCAGCCAGGGAGCCATGGCAGCAGTGGCCGCACCAGCATCCAGCACATCCTGAAGGTAGGCACATGCAGCCCGTCGCATAAGATCGTGCTTGCAGCAACTGAGGCCTGGTCTTTGCAGAGATCTTCCACAGAGTTCCGCTGGCAAAACACCTCGTAGTAGTTGGCCTCAAACAGACATGCGCCAGGTGCACTTACATCATGCGGATCATGCGTACTGAGAAGATGAGGTGAAGCACGTGAAGAACCTTTGCGACGTTCGGGCCGGACAAAGACTTCACCTTGGCGGCATACGGTCACTGCCAGAACAACCACCACTGCCGCCACCGAAACCATAACCCCAACCACAGGAGACGAGTCACTCCGTTGAAGGAAAGGACGAACTTGCCTCTTTTCAAGCGGCCCATGATTCACTCCGGCTGCTACTAATCCGACCCGCCTGGGGCCCAGGTTTCATCCACCAGCCGAGAGGAAATCGGATGATACGAGTTCCTTAGCTTTTTTCACACGTTTCTCCCCAGCCCTCGGCTTGCAGCAGCCCGATGCTGCAAAGCTGCATTTCGGACTGCGGCAGTATGCGAACCTCTTGCGGATATGGAGACGGAAGGTCGCCTTATTCAGGAAGGAATGCGAGAGCCGACTGAAGCGGTATGATCGGAACGGTTTCAAGTAAGAGAGGCACGTGCCAGCATGCTGGCTTCGTAGCGCATCTGCGCGAAGCGACGATGATTGACACCGAACAGCTCTTGCGCGAAGGCTTGCTGCTCCCACCAGGTGTGATTCTCGAAAGGCGAGAAGCCAGCATCATCGCCCCACACCTAGGCATGCTGAACATCTTCTGCACCTAGAGCAGCACCAGAGTTGAAAGCACTGAAAACAGGAATAATGACATGCCGTCCAGAATCTCTTGCAAGCAATCTGCGGCTCCAAGCCGACCGTCGCATCAAGAGAATGGCAGTGTTGAGAGATTGCGCGTCCTCGGTGACCAACATGTGCACTGACTCGTCGATCGACGGCGCGGCTGCTTCGCCAGCAGCCCTTGCATGCGTCAAAAGGAGTGAATCCAGTGTCCGGTTCATGTCCATGAAGTATAGGTCGCAGTCAATCCAGGCGACCCAATCCCAGCGATCATCTTCCATTGCCTCACGCAGCGCCTCTACCTTGCCCCAGGCTGCAGGGCGTCCTTGCAGGAGCACAGGCACGAACATTTAGCCAAAGCCGAGGTGCCCACAACATGGTATGCATGTAGCATGCCGGCTGGCCAGTATGGCACTTCTCTCTGTCCTTTGGCATGGTGCGCACGGCGATGATGGATATAACCGTATCCGTGCCGATGGGCATACATGCCATGGACTGATGCTGCTAACCGCGGAAGCCAGGCACCACTTGGATAATCGCAAATGGTTACGAGGCAAACTGTCAATCCGTGAGCGCGAGTGCCAGGATCCGCATCTACTCGCTTGGTAGGCAGTTGGGCGCGCAGGTTGCCCAGCAAGTTGGCAACCGATCGATGCTCGTCCCCGAATTCGTGGGAGGTTATGGGCCATGCAGAATCATCGATGAAGGAATCGTGATGGAGAGCGGCTACATTGTATGCATAGATGAGCCATCCGGACGCCAGATGTTGCATTCGCAGCGCTACTTCCAGGGCTGCGACCTGCACTTCCGTCTCCGCATCTCGCACGACTGGGTCGCCGTAGTGCGACATCGCGAGAAGACGAAAGGCGGCCCCCATCCCCACAGCGCAGTCTTCCAGCGCACGCTGGAGAGCTACCGCTGCGCCGTAGGCATCGGCGTCCTCTCCGAGCACATGGGCCACTGACAGGCTGAGGACCCTCCGTGCTTCCGGAGCTTCTCCGGCTGAAAGCAGGGTCTTTGCATGCTTCAGGTCTGACAGGAGAGGCTCCCAGGACGATGGGCAGCGCAGCGTCGTTCGAAGAAACTCAGCTCGAGACTGCGGGCGCACACTCAAGTCGGCCACGAGGTGGAGCCAACTCTCTGCGAAAAGCAGCAAGCCATAGACACTGAACATCCCACAACCGCTACTGCTACCATCCACCCGAACGGCAAGCAAGCATTCCAGGCACCAATCTGCTTTCTTGCATCCCGCGGCCCATGCACCACCATGCAGGAAGCGAATGTGGCATCCTATGATCACATTCCAGCAAGCGTGCCCAAAGGCCTAAAGTTTACATAAGCTGAAGGCAAAAGAGCTTGGATTGGGATCTGTTAGGCTGAACGTGGCCTACGATCTGTGATCCTGCAGCTCTCGAGAGACAAGAAGTTCACTGAACAGCAGCTAGATCAGGGGGCGCATTGTGCCGTGGCTCAATGCCTGGCGCAGGTTCTCCATCATGGTGGTTCTCCTTGCCTGGGGGATGCAGCAGAATGCTAAATGCTAGGACGAGCGCAAGCCGAGCTTGGAATCAAGAGGCCCCAGTCCTTCACGAAGGGGGTGTCTGCCTTCTTGTCATCGCTTCGTGGAGTGTGCACGTCCACAGTGTTGAGGACTCGGCGACCGGCAAGCTGCACGCTTTCTGAGCGCTATGCACATCGCGCGGTTCGGGAGCAGCCTTGCTTCACCACCACCGTCTTGAAGAGCTGCGGAACAATCTGGGGCTCTACCTGTGCGATACCAGAGGGCAGGCTTCAACCACATCTGTACCCAAACCAGGAGACATGGTGAAGCGCCTGCGGAATGTCCCCCAGAGACATCACTCCTGGATAAAGATGACCATCACGGGATCGGGATGCTCTCAAACTTGCAGCCGGTGGGCCAAGATCCAGTACCTCGCCGCAGACATCCACGGCAGCCTCGCCTTCGCATTCAATTGATGCATCTTGGCAGTTCGCGGATGTTCCTGACACGCACAGACGCACACATAATCTGGGAGCGGGGCTGCTTGTGGAGTAGGCAAAGGCTTTGTCCTGTCCCACCGGGAATCGAAGATCTGCAGCGTGAAAACGGGGTCATACAGAATCGGGGAGGCGCGAGGCTCGGCAAATTTCAGGAACCTTGAGAGAGCCGTTATGGGGCCTTTGGATCTACGCCTCTGTGCCTGAACCCTAGTTAATAAACCCAAAACTAAAAAACGCGAAATCCTAGCACCTTTCCGCAGCAGGCTTGCGTAGTCTCGCCTGGGCACAAAATCCTAACACCTGTTTTTTGAAAGCGGACTTGATGAAAATCCCAACACCGAAACCCTCAACCCCAGGCCCTTCCAATCCCGGTCCCGGGGGAGGGGGGTCCTCGGTGACTTTGATCTCCAAGAGGAAGAGTGCGGAGCCGGGTTTCAGATCAGCGCTCTCTTCGTCGTGACTCGGAATCAGCGTTCAGGGTTTTCTGCGGGCTTTGCGGGTGTTTGGACTCGCGACTCAGAGTGTAGGGCTTGGGGTTGAGTGTTTCTTAGAGCTTAGTTTTAGGATTTACGCTCTCGCAACTCGGACTCCGCCAGACGAGGTCTCTTGTGTCCAACTTGTACAGACCACTAGAACTCTAGCGCATGATTAGTTTTAGGATTTAGGGTTAGGGGTTTTGAACGTCTTTCGCTCGACCGGGGCAGGCGGGTTTCGAGCTCCTGGATGCAACTGCCGTGCTAGATGCCAACTGAACCATTCTAGGGCTGCAGCTCTGCTCCGTAAAAAGCCATTCCCGGACGACCTGCGCAAGAGCTTTATGACTTCATGGGCCCGGCTCAAGACGAGGGTCTGTTTTCCTGCATCTAAGCACCTGGAGGAATCAATTGTCGACTTCCACCACGCTTCGCAGGAAGTGGTCGAGGACGTTCGACAAACTCGCACTCCACCTGGCAGCATGAAACCCACGTACGTTACTTGGTGCGGCATCTGTCAAGCAGCCTTCATCAGGTCGCTCACTATCACTTTTGCAGGGCACAGCTCCTGGCTGATGGTCCCCACGTTCAGCGCGAGAACAGATGGTGACATGTGGAATCAGCAAATCCTCCAAGCCATGGCAGTAGTCATCCACGGAGTCCAAGGTCTTGTGGAGATCGCAACTCTGCGACTACCGCACGGCAGCTGTGGAATCTCTTAGCACAGCACGAAGAACTCCAAGGAATCCTGCATCATGTTCTTGACAACGGCCTTAGCGAATCGGGCTAGGGATGCATATCTTTCCATCCGTACCTGGCAGATGGATCTCACTGGCTGCCGGACCAACAGCTTCTTGAGCTTGCCCTGTCAGTTCTGACCAGTGGTAGTGAATCCAGTGACTCTACTCGACCGAGAGATTTTCTACTCGTAGCACTCCCATCTTACGCAGGGCTAAGCCGATGTCTCGATGTCCTGCTCCTTCTCTCAACATGCTCGTGACACCGCTCGTGTGGCCTGTCGGTATGTGTCTTGGTTTGTCTCGTGGATGGAGAACCAACCTGACTGACAGGACATGAACGGAACGGCAATCCAGAACTTGCAACCCACTGCCGCACAGGTGCCTTTCCCCACATCACGGAAGTTCTTGAGAATGATTTTCTGAATGTTGACAACCTAGTGCATCAAACAACCGACGGGTGGCAGTGCTGCCGCGCTTCTTGCTGCAGGGTTCAACAAGCCGCACCAAGCCTTGCAAAGCCATAACCCACCGAGTTCCAGACCCACTGGTCCCTAATCTTGTGCGCCATAGATGTGATGGCCTAGAAGCAGCACGGGGCAAATATCAGGCGGGATCCGGTACCCGACGTATCCGAGGATCAGAGGTTCCCACGGATTTCTGCACATGTCGGAACTGCTCCGGCTTCATCAGCCTTGCCACTGCCGGCTCTCGGCAAACCACGATGTTTTGCGTAGCTGAAGCTCCCGACCGTGTAAACTTGTTCGCATAGATGCAAGATGCCATGAGGTTCAAGTTCTCCTCGGCCATCACCAAGCTGCAAGCTACTGGCACAACCAACTGCCACAATAGAGCAGCCCGACCGCGGGACCTAGCAAAACGAGGCACCGGTCCTGGCACACCTCACCCAAGCTGCTCACAACTTCCGGCCTGCAGTCGAAAGCAAGCCTAATGGCGATCCGAAGCCCAGCGAGACATCGGGCCTTATGTAGAGCGACGCAAAACAAAAGGATGAGAATGCCGTGGTGAAATCATACTCCGGCACCTGAGCAGCCGTGCCCATGTCAACGAAAACACGCAAAACCTCTGCATCCCTATCTTCTAGCCGACACCGCCTGGCCCTGCGCCAGTATTGAGTGACATAACGGATACGCACGCAAAGGCGGACACCGGCCAAAGCGAGAACCACGGAACATCCCGATCGAATGGGTTCTCGCCTTGCAGCCGTAACGGTATGAACTCAAGGTGCACCAAACCTACCGCATCCAAGGAAAGCTTCTGCCGGAAGTGTGCCTGGATCTTCGAGATCATCAACGTCTATGTCATCCAGCCTCGCATGTGCCATGCTAAGCGACCCTTGAACGTGACGACATCACGCACGGCCGCTGAGACGCAGACAACCCTGCCACATCGGTTGCCTGTGCCCCGCTCGGCATGCTGGGCATGGCCTGTCAAGGAGGCACACCATACTGTAACTTGACGGTTTTACTGTGTCACGTCTTCTTGCCACTGCGGCGATCGTCTTTTGTGCAAATTCTGTGTACGTCGCGCGTACAGCACAGCGTCAGTCGAAACTTAGCATGGAACTCGTGCCCCACGGCACTACGGGCGAATTATAGTCGTTGCAGCAGAGCATTGACAGATTTTCGGTGCATGCCGGCACTGGTCGCCAGCTCATCGAGGGTCTGAATTGTCCTGCATGCAGGGGAACGGGTTCTAGCAGATTCGAGAAGAGCTTGAAAAGGAGTGGAGCTATTCTCAATTAAGCTTGAGCTTAGGACATTGGGTCAAGTTGAGGGCCAGGGTCCTCAGCTGCCGGGCTTGCAGGAGTCGGCTGACCGCTTCCATTCCGTCGACATAATCCAGGCTGGATTGCTGGAAAATTCTCCGCAGTTCCTCAGCGGAGCAAGTGTTCATCGTTGCGAGGAGCTGCAGTTCCTCGGCAGAGTCCGCAGGGCCCAGGATATGTCGTGATGGCGACTTCATCCGCCCGCGCGCTCTGGAAGGCGTTGGGATGTTTAGCTCTGGGCTGCGAAGAGGCACTGGATCTGTTGCTGTGTCCTGTGCACCTCCGGATTTGTGGTCTTCACAGGACACGTACAGCCATCTAGCTGTGCACAGCACTGCGAGGAGGACGGCCAGAACGTCGCGACGCATCTCTTGTGCAAGACAGTAAGAACAGCGGAGGCCAAAGATCTGGTCGGCAATTTCCCGGCAGGATTGAAGCAGCCTGCAGCAGAAGCATCCATCACATCGTGCGACACATGTTTGAAACCACGCGGGCTAGAAGACGAGTGCAGACCAGCGACGCGTCCAACATGCTTCGTCCAGCATCACCATAGCACAGACATGCCGCGGTGCGTCCAAGGATGAAGACAGAAACGACAGCAACGAAGCGCTGGACCTTGGTGCATCTGGCTTCGCAGAGCCTGACCCAACAGACGAAACAAAATGCGTCATTGCGCATATTTCTGCACCGAGATGCAGAAAGACAGACGACCGTCCACGCCCATGCCATCTCCGTCCATGGCCCAACCGGCAGCTGATGTCAAGAACCACTGGGCATATCCATGCTCAACTCCCCTGCCCTGCTTCAGAACCCGTCAAGCCGTCACTTAGCCCTGCACATTGCGCATGCATTTCTCGACTCCCATCTGTGTTTCAAATCTTCCTGAGCACCCGCTGGCAGCAAGGAATCATCGCGACACCCACAGCTGTTCGTGTGCAAAGCCCCGTGACCTGTTTTCGCACACTATGTGACTGGGTGCAGTGTGGAAAGTCGCGCAAGCCTAACGGTCCTAGCGGAGTGGCTCACCACGAGCTCTCACCACGTCGCCGCCGGGAGCTGCCTCAGGTCCCCACAGCTCCATGCACTTACGATATTGGGACAAGCTGCAGCCGAGAAGCGCATAATCGTTTCTGGTACGAGGTTGGCACCTCGAGGCTCACAAAGGGAGCGGAGCTGCGGCGCTTGTAACTCGGACACTCCAGGCAGAGTTTGGGGTGTTGGGTGCAGGCTGCCAATACTAACAACGACAATATGAACACCAACATTCACATTAAGAACAAATATCTTCAAGCACCCTCGCGCCTGCTCCCGAATGCGATCTGCCTCGGAGGGGTCGATCTCCACAACCCACACGCCAAGCTGCTCGGCCTGAAGCGGCTGCTTCTTTTTCGGCAACTGGTGGCTTACATGGGTTTAAGGTTTTGAAGGCTAAACCAATTCCTAAACACTAAACCCTAATCTCTTATCCCCGGAATTGCGAAATCTCCAAGATGGCCTCGCCCTCTGCTCATGGACTGACGAGCTGTGAATGCCCCCGGGCTTGGCATGGAAGTCAGTTACGTCTCGAATACTGTTGTAATCATTAGGTGTACTCATCTTGTTAATGGTTTTCTTCTTATTCTTGGTATGATGGCTATTAAGATCATTATTATCATTGTATTGCTTTAGCACTCGCACTCGACGATTGTATTGTTACATTTCTTCTACTGTCGAGTCTGATGTTACTATAATATGTCTACTGATGCTCTTCTTATTGTGATCACTAAGATGGTTCTTAGCTTGAAAATTTGTGTTCTTACAAGACAAGGCCCAGGCCTGTTAGGGTTTAGGGTTTTTTTGGTTAAAGTTTAGGTACACTCTCACAACTCGGACAAGCCAGGTTTCGACTCTCACACTACAAGCCAGGTTTAGGGTTTAGGGTTTCGACTCTCACACGCGCACAAGGCCAGCAAGGCTCCGCAGGTTTAGGGTTACGGGCCTTAGAGCCTCTTGGGTTTAGACTCTCGCGACTCGAGCAATAGCTTCTGGTATGAGGGTCATACTAAAAGCCTTGTTACCTTGAACGTCAAACTCCCTAGGCCCTAAACCCAATAAACCCCAAACCCTAAATAAACCATAAACCCCTAAACCCCTGACCCTAAACCCGAAACCCCAAACCCTAAACCCAAAATGTCTCGAAGTAGTCCCTCAGGCCGCCTCATAGTGGTTCTTGTCGCTGCTTTTTTGCTGGCGATGCGAAGGCCACCTTGTCTTGCAATGTTCGAATCTGCGGGCTCTTCCGGATACTACAAGCCCTGTCGTAAAACTCCGGATTCAGCACCAAGCATCCTTTTTTGTGCATTTCTTCTGAATGGGAACTGCAAGCGAGCACTGCAAGCGAGCCACGTGCAGCTCTGGGAGTGAGGCGCCCGCGATCCAGATCTTCCGTTCTCGAGCCTTGCGGAACACGTATTTCTTGACACCTTTTTCCCACTGCAGAA